TGCATTAAAAACTTTGTGATGTACAGTGGTAAAATACTCAACATAATATTTCAAAAGCTCTTCACACAAAATTACAAATTTTGGTGTTTGTTATGAAAAGTTATTGCAAAAATAAATAATTATTTTTTAACTGATATATTATTTTGAATAAGTTAAAAATTTGTAAAATGTTCTAAGAGTTTGTCATTTTGAACATACTAGAGAAAAAAAAAATTTGCAAGCTTAGTTGCCTCATTCACTATGTCATATTAAAGAATAATGAAAAATATTGTGCACCGAGCCAATGTTTGATTTTATATTTGAAGACACTATATGCAGGAATTCTTTACCTATTATTACTCATCACAAGAAAATTAAAATTACATACCTATTGAAACTACTGATTAAAAGTAAACTATTACTTTGTCAATTTTTTCTTTTGGTAGTGAGGATCTGTTATAAAAGTATTCTAAAACTAAAAAGTATTCTAATAAACAGAAACAAATGTTTTTTTCTCATTTTCTTTCTGAGTTTTAAAAATAAATTAGAAATGAAAGACAAAACCATCAAATGAATCTTTTTTTTTTTTTTTTTAATATTATGACTACCTAGAACAAATAAAAATGAATTTAAGAAAATATTATAAAACCCAAATTAGAATACCTACAATAAATGTTGAAATGCACTATTAATAGATGTTAATTGCTTTATAAGCATTGAAAGCATTGTTCCAAAAGGAACTGATGGATAGTAGAGTGATGCAAGAGAATTAAAGAGGTTGCAAGTGTACACATTGAAATATCTGCATTTCTGTTACACATTTTTCAGGTTCCTGAGAGACATTCTAAAGTAAACATGATTGAAAATTAAATTTAACTTTATGGAAAATTTATCAGATCTTTAAACTTTTCAAAGTTTTTATGATGTATAAAAATTTTCTTCAAGTGCTTAAAATTTGAACAAATTATTTAAATCATTTCTCAGTTTTAAAAAAGATTAAATTTTAAAAAGATCACTATACTTCTCAGTTCTATATTTGTGTTTCTAAGAACAGACAGTGTTTTCCTAATTAAACAAACTTGTGTGTGTGTACGTTTGCTTATAAAAAATAAATAAAATAAATAATTACTGATAAGCACAAATGCTTCATGTAAATTTATTTTGTATTAATAGAGATTCAAAGAGAATAGTTTTAATTGTAATAATTGTACTCTTTAAGATTTTCATGGTCCCATTTAATTTTTATGTTCATAAGCTTCTAACTTAATTGAAAAGTGATTACAACAAAAATTCAATAATTTTATCAAAATCAGTTTTTGGTAATACTGTGAAATATTATAATATGGTCATTTAAAAAGAAATGTAATTGAAGCTAAAGAAACTTTAAACAAAGACATAATTTATATATAAAATCAACAGAGTCATTTCCTTTATTTAAACAAATATTCTAAACCTAAATGTATTAAAGTGTTGTGAAAAGTATTTGGGATCTAAATTTAAGAAAAGAAAATAATTTTTTTTCATTCAGTCAGAATAAAAAACATTTCATGTTACCATCAATGAAAGCCAGGCTTGATTTACCTCACTAATAAAGCATCTTTGCATTTCTTTCACTCAAATAGGTAACTTGTCCTTTTATCAAGATGTCTTTAAATATTCTTATTTTCGTAAATCTATTAATTTGTTTTTGTTTAAGTGCTTAGAAATTATAATACTATTTTAATTGCCTTTGTCTGAATGTTGCTACCAAATTCTCTCTAATGCAGTCTTTTTCTGGGTTTCCAAAAGGCTAAATTATGGTCTTGAATTAATGTTAATATGTCCAGATAAAAAAATATTACACTTCAACTATAGTTAGTAAAAAATATTTTGAAAATATTTTAACAGTTTCTACTAGACTATTAACTGAACAGAAGTGAAATGGATTATAACATTTCAAGTTTACTCCTTATCTTTGCCAGTGCTCTTAAAAATAAAAATAAATTATGAGTAAACTACCATTAGGAATGTCAACTTTTCAAATAAATTCTTTCTTTGAAGTATCACATCAGAGTTTGTCTAAGTCAAAGATGTTAGCAGTCTTGTACAATGTCCAATAATTATATTTTGGCCTATATAAAATAAAAGTAGAATGTTATAATCTATATTATAGATCTTATATAATGTTACTGAAAGTTTTTATATAAAACAAGTTGTTGAGTTAGCATATTTTCAAGAAATATGCCTAAATGATTTTTTTAAAAATATAACTTGCTGACCTACTGATTAATTCTAAAGAAGCAGACAAATTCATTGCAATCAATCATTTTTAACCTTAATAAAAAAGAAAATGATCCTGTGAGGATGCGATACTTGTCATTCATAGTAATTGAATTTAAATAGATGGAAGCTTAAAATAAAAAAAATCTTATACAATCCTTAAAAAGATCTGTAAAAATATAGTAATTAAATAATAAATTCAGAAATTTAGGTATTCTGTAATAATTCAAAACAATTTAAGGAATAAAAGAAAATTAACAGCTGATATTTAGTTGTTTTAAAACATTTTTAGAAAAAAACAAAAAACCAACTCTTTCTTATTTTGTCTAACAAATTTTGAATTCATATCAGATAAACTACTTTGAAATAAAGGCCAAATATTATAAGTTAAAATGTCATTTGCTGATAGCAGCCTTAATCAAATATAACAAAATATCTGGAAAGGGAAATTGTTATTAAAGAGGTGATAATTAAATATCTTAAACATTGGGGATAGCGCTTCGAGTTTACACTTATAAAAAGTCTAATAGTTTATATAATAACTGCTTTAATAACTATGGGCTTTTGTCGTCTAATAATTATTTGAGAAAAAAATAAACAGTTTTTTTTCATCTGTTAGTAGATAAGAAGCCAGGAGCAGCATTTAGATGCAGCACATGCTACATAAAGTGAATAATTTTCAAATTCATAGTAAACAGCAACAATCCTCCATTGCAAAACATTATGGCAGGAGTAAAACTGGGTAAGGTTGAATTTCAGGATTTTATTTTTATATGATATATATTAATTAGATAGAGAAAATAATCAGAAATATGGACTTTAGTGATTCAGAATATTGAAAAGTATTTAGAGAGCATGAATTTTAAAGAGTGTGTAGGTAAATTAATTAATGAAGATTATCTCCAATACAGCTGCTAAAGAAAGAAATATATTTGAGTAGAAAACTAGCAAAAGGGGGAAAAAGAGGAATCGGAGAGAAAAATTAAGAAAATATGAAATAGGAGAGAGGGTTAAAGATATAAAATGTATTAGTGTTGATTGAAAATATGTCCAAATATTTTTTTAGATTGTAAAAAAATGGGAATGAAAAATGAATTGAAACATTAAATAAATAAAAGATGTTGAGAAATGAGAAAACACAGAATGGGTGGACACAGCGAGCTGACATCCAACTCATGCACATCAATGTATGTTGCAAAGACACATATTCACTTTTATGATGGCAATCTGGTTGCAAAAAACAAACAAAATGAAAACAAATAGATAATAGAAACAAGTAAAAGAATTTTCAGCTCAAAAGAGAATATTTTAAAAATGTGAAGTTTGTTTTTTCATTCATCTTAGATTTAATGCAAAATGTAGCATTTAAAAAACAAATATTAATACCAAGATTCAGATGTTTAAAAATTAATTTTTAATAATTTAGTTTTCTGTAGATGAGCTTGCAAATAATTACATTGAAGGGAAATAAATAGAACTGAAGATAAATAAAAGCTGACAAGATACATGGTTTCAAGGAATAAAATTAGAATCAAGATACTTGGTAATTTTCTCAGTGCATTATTTGATAGCAATGAATGTCAGGAAAATGTTAAATGTACTCAAATATGCAGAAAAAAAATTAAATAAGCAGAATAAATATATTTAGAAAGTGATTCTGTTTTCAAACATAAGTCCACCAATTCAAAGAATGACATTTAAACTGATGAAACAAAATTCTTTATATTCAAGTTCTCTTTTAAAAATTTCACTGTTTTCATTGGTGAGGAAGAGTGAGTTTGACAGGAGGAAAGAAAATTTTGAGAGGAAAAAAAAAAAAAAATTTTTTTTTTTCAATGAAATTCAATATTAAGGCAATTCCTAATTTTTCAAAATACTTTATTTCCCTAATATTGAAATTTAATCAAACTAAAAATACTCTGAAACCCACAAAAGATGTCAATTATTATAGAATATGGATTACTTCATAAAAGGCCAATCTCAATAATTGATTCTATTGTGCTTATTAAAAAGGTTGGCAAGTTAATGGAGAATTCTTTGCTAAAATGGAGAAAAAAAATTATCTGTTCAAAGATTTGCTTGTTGAAATATTTTTGGCTCTTTGTCAGTAAAAAGGTTTTGGACATTATGATTAAAACTTTTTTCATATTCAGTAATAAAGGTTCCCATTTATTCAAACAAAGAAAGTAATCAAATATCTCATTAAGTGTTGCAAAAATCAGATTTCAAATATCATGAATGAAATAATAATTTTGAAAATTAAATCTTTGAAATCTGCCCTTAACAAAAGAAGAATGATCATTATGAAGTCAAAATATAAAAACACCTGCCATAATGATTATAGATAATGTAAATAAAACTAACAATATGTTGTATATACAAATAAGCAGTCCTAGGTAAGATTTGTTAAGAGAAAAAATCTTTGAATAAAAATATCCAAAAGAAAGTAGAAAAAATTTTTCCAAATATTATATATTTTTATATAAGTGTTAAACTTAATATTTGATATGCACTTTACCAGTCTAAAATATTTGAATATGCCTTTATTTTAAATCATTCCAGTAGTTACAAATCTACTTATAAATTGAAATTATCTCATTGTAACAATGCTATATTCGTTATTAAAAAGTCAATTATGAAATTGACTTTGTAGGAGGGAATAAATACATAAAATATTAATATACATGATTTTTAGAGCCCTCATGTAATCCAAAAATAGACTTATATTTAAAAATTTAGGAAAGCAATATTTGAATACATACATGGTCATTTGCCTTAAAGGGTGTGGCACCTCTACCACCAGCAATACTGAAGCCCAGACCATTATGATCCCTTGTCAATACTGTAGAAATTGTCTGAAATAAATAAAGGAATTCAAATAGTAAACAAATTGAAACAAAACATTTTCACTCAATTCTTAGATACAAGCTGCAATAATAAAAGGTACTGATAAATATGTGGATGTATTTGTATGTGTGTTTCAATATACTTTAAACAATTTTCACAAGAAAAATCTTAGAGAAAAGAATCAAATATGACATTTCAATAACTGGAGTATAAATGATTTTCTTTTACAGAGATCATAAGAGAATAAAAAAAGAAATTGAAAACATTGGCAAGGTAAGAACAATAAAAGAGATAATGGTTTTAAGGATGTCACAAAAAAGATTTAAGAGAAATTCAAAGGGTAATAAGCAAGAAAAGCAGATTAATCTGCTAGAAAATATCTGAAGCTGATGTTGTAAATATAAATAGAGAGAAAAAAATGGAGAATATTAAAAACATCAGATAAAGACATGAAAGTAACCAATTAAATAAATATGAAACCAAAATGTATAAGTTGAGTAAAAAAAAGTACAGGAAAGCTTATTTAACAATAATTTTTTTATTGGGTGGATCTGAAGACTGGTCCAAAGATTGTATTATTCATGGAAATATTCAACAAAGGTTATTTAGAAAACAATAATGGGAAGGTGGAGTAATGTTTTGGAGCTGTTTTGCAGGCAGAACAATAATAGGTCACTTTTCAACTTGAAGATGGTATCAGAAAATATGCAGTTATTAGACAAAATATTTTTGAGTGATACAGGCCACAACCAAAAAAATGTAGAGTATAATGATATTCCTTCACATTCTGCAAAACTATTAACCACATTGAAAAAAGAAAAAAAAAAAAAAAAAAGAAAAGCCTTCCAAAGACACAAAATCAGTAAGTGAAATTACAATGGTCAACAAAAAAAAAATCCTTTCATCACCTCAAGTACACAAAGAAGTTTGTGATAAAATCATACAAATGCAATAATTTCAAAACAAGAGGAAAATCCTTTTTAAGTGACTTCCAATCAATAGTAAAGTGATAAGACATTAAAATCATATTCACTGATTTAAGGCAGACTTGTTTACTTCATTCATGTAACCAATATTTGGAGCCCTGTTTCTTTCTTTTGATATTTGCCAGATTATTTAAAACAAATTGAAAACAAGTGACTGCACTCATTTCTAAAATAATAGTGGAAATTTAAAATTATCCAAAAAAATTCAAATAATTTAAATTTATCAGTTGATAAAGAGGTTAAATGTGAAAAATAAATTATCCAGCAAATTTACAAATGTTAAAAATTGAGGCCCTGTAAAATTTAACAGCTGTGTCAAGTTTTGGTGATTGTAGATGTGTGAAAAATTTAATTATTTACTACAAGAATAAGAGAAGCTATTTTGAGAAGGTTAAAAAAAAATAAGGTAGTGGAAAAAAAATTGACTAAAGTACATTTTCGAAAGGAAAAAAGAAAAAGATTTCCACGTACTTCGCCATACACTTCCATTTCTGGCTCTTCAGTAAAACTTACAGTGGCAATACCAGTATTATCTTCCTCCTCGGCCATCTGAAAATCAAGTAGAAAATATAAAAGTTTTAACAGGACTGTTTTATTATAGAAGAATAAAAAGATTGTTTAAATTAGTTTTGATCATTTATATTTCATAACGAAAAAATAGGATGTATTTAAATATTTGGTTTCTAGTGTAAAGAAAGTAAAACTAAGAATAACATCAAAAACAAATTGTACAAAAAAAAAAAAAAAAAAAGCATCTTATGGTTATTTGTTTTGATTAATATTTTTCTATTGTATAAAAAATAAATTTTTCAGAATGTATATAAATTTTTTTTTTTAATGATATGTCAATTTCTTTCAGTGGAGAGAGAGAGAAATTATATATATATATATATATATATATATATATATTTTGGGCACCTCGACATGGTGTAATGGTTAGAAAGCTTGTCTTACAAGATCAATTACGAGTGAGTTCGATCTTTGCTGGGTGCCCCATACTTTTGGCCTTGTGCCACATCTAAGCCGGGCTTAGAAAATCCCTATGGGCACCTCGAGGTGGTGTAATGGTTAGCAAGCTTGTCTCGCTAGAACAATTACGACTGAGTAGTGAGTTCAATCCTCATTGGGTGCCCCTTACTTTCGGCCTTGTGCCACATCCAACCTACGCTTGGAAAAAAAAAAATATATATATAGATATATATATATATATATATATATATATTTAAAAATGCTAGTGTCACGCTTTTTCAACTTTAATCCTAGAGGGTATATGCCAACATATTTCATTTAGAATCAGGCTGACTTCATGAGCAAATTAAAAACATTTAAGGCCGGATCCAGACTCAAAATCCTTAAATTCCCAAATTTTTATTACTGTGATTGTTTTTGTTTGAATTTTTTTGAATGATTTTTTTTGTGAAAATTTTTGGGTACAATAATTTTTATAACCTGGGAATAACTGGAATTAACTGTGAAATCCAGCTAAAGTTACCCATGAAATAAAGATAATTGTTTGTACAGAAAGTAAGGACCTATGTACATCAAATGGTCTTTAAATTAAATGGCGGCAGAAGAATTATCATTGAACTTTTAAAAGGTAAGCTTAAATATTAATGCAATACTTAATTGTAGTGATCAATTTTGAGTTCTTTTGTAGTTTATTGTTGCCTATCACATGCAGCAGTATGCCTTGCAAAAAGAAATCTCTGCCAACAGAGGACCAGATTGTAATCAAAGAGCCAAGAATACAGCAAGGAAAAGCAATTCCCATGTAAATGAAAATCCAAATCAAATAGCAGCCTGGAGAGCTTTGCTGAGAATATGCAAAAACTTAAGGACTCTCAAACTCCTGAACAAGCCAAATGCCCAATCAAGAGCCCTCAACAGCAGCTAGCTTAATGTTTAATAGGGTGGCTTTTAAGCTAGAGTGTGTCTCTCTCTCTCTCTATATATATATATATATATATATATATATAATGGCTGTGACTCAATTGTGAGCAAGAACCATTGCATGATGCATATTCACATATGCCCAGCACAAATGTGATTTTTTTTTTTTTTTTAGTCTTGCTAAAGTCTTACATTCTCTTACATAGAATTTTTTTTCTCTTTAAAAATTTAAATGTAATGTCAAATATCAAATTCTGTCTTCTTAATACCTATTCTTTTATTCTCTCTTTAATAATTTTTTTTTTTTTTAAAGTTTCTTTCACACTTGCATCTTAATGGCTTTATCACCTTGCTTGAGATGAAAGGATTTAATTAAAAAAAAAACATAAAAAGAAAAAGATTTTTACTCAATTTCTGAAAAGTGTCTTTCACCATTCCACTAGATCAGTTTCTGCATGATATTTTCCATTGTCTGTTATTACACTGCCTGAATAGTTGAATTTCTGAACTTGTTTAATTTTGATGTCTTTAATGGACAACACACATTTTCAGTAATTATCTCTTTTGCTAATACCCATGTGTTCCATCTTATTCCAATTAATGGTTAGTCCATTCGTCTTACTTTCATCAACAAACTTCTCTAATAGTTCCTATTGTTTTCTTTCTGAATCTGCCAACAGTATCATTTACATAGTACATGTTACAGTTACATCAAGCATATAATTAATCATGATAGGTCCTTTAATTCTTTTGGAATCACTTTGCTGCACAAGTTCAACAAACCCATTGATAAAAACACATCCTTGTCATACTCTCTATTTTAGTATACTTAATTTGTTATCTATTCACATATAAAGCATTTCCCCAATATAAATTGCAGATTATTTGTATATTCTATCTTTATAGCTCAACTTTTTCAAACATTTCAAGTTCTTTGTGTTGTACTTGATTGATATACCTGTGTAATTTATATTTCTAATTTTCTCAGATATTAATTTAGATTATACTCTAAAATATAAGAATCACATGGTTAACAGAAAATAGCAGTTCTATACAGCATTGTTCTATTTTACTAACAATTTGTGAAACATTTATTTTACACACAAACAAAAATATTCTAGTATCAGAAAATAAATAAAACTGACCATATTTTCTGGACGGGTTACAGGCCGCTCTCTAGCTACTACAAGAGTGATGTCATAACCACTGTTCTTCAGCACTTCAACAGCCCTATAGTGGTCAGCATCTTCCAAAGAGATACCATTGACCTATAATAGAAAAATAAATACAATGCAAAAACAAATCATATATAGAAAAATAAATACAATACAAAAACAAATCATATTGAACAAACTTGATAAATTACTCTCTAATGTGAATCTCTGTGCTTAACTTAGCAGTGACTTCACTTGAGATAATAAATTTCTTATTATAAATGGGATAATATGTTTCTTATTATAAACGAAAATTAATCTTCACCACCATCACTTAACATATTCTCACATTGAAACATTTTTATGGGTCACATAAATTAATCAAATTTTTTGTCACCAACAGACAACTATGTACAGATAACTATTTTAATGAATATTTAGCATTTTAAAGATCTGTTAACTGGGGGATATACTTTTTGCGTATATCTGATACAATTAAACAGGTTAGGTTTAAGACTAATTCCACTGAATTGTCCCATGGGACAAAAGCCTAGTAAATTAATGGGTTGGTTTGTGAATTTGATGACACAGTATTTGTGAGTTCAATCCCTGGGCCGGGTAGAGTGTACTTGGACTCAGTGGAAACAAGGTGAGCAATAACTGAGCAGTACTAAAAATAAGAACTAGATGAGATATCCCTAGACATGGGCAGTGGAACAAAAACAGTCTACTCCTGTAGATTAAATAAAGGGTTCAGTTTATAATTCCCTATAGGCTACCCAAGTCAATACACATCTGATGAAGGTTGGAGGGCAACAACAAAGACGAGGACAATAATCAGCATATCAATAGTGTAAATAATAACATTTAGATATAAATTTGTGCTATTTAATTTTTGTCAAACTCTACTCTCAGTTTTGTATTGTGCAATGAATTTTGCATGACCAAAGAAATTCAAGAAATGCTACTTACAGATATTAATCTGTCACCCACTTTGACACCACACTGATGAGCTGGACCAGTTTCTGCAACTCTTGATATAAAAACACTCTAAAAAAGAGGAAAACAAATGATAGAACATTAGATGTTGCCAAAATTTTAGATATTTAAGTTAATTTCCATGAAAGAGAGAAAAAAATTAAGAAAATTGTGTACATAGCTCAAAATTTTAAGATGCGATTTTTTCCTTATCAAGTGATAAAATATTTAATACAGATTTATTTTTAAGGCTTTTTATTCTTTAGAAATGCAGTTAAAAATTAGATAGGACATTAGACAAAAACATTTACAACTAGTGGTATTGTCAATACATAATGTGTATGTTTATGCCAGAGCAATTTTTAAAAAAATTACACTTTCAGCTAAGGTAATTTCTGAGTAATATAACATTCTCTAGAGTGTTATATAACTGAAGAATATAAAGAAAAAAAATACTTTCTTTTAGAAATTTGTAATTTCATTATAAATTCTGAAAGTTTATTAATTTCAGATATAATAAAATTTTTAACAATGGATAAAATATAGAAAACTACAGAATTAAACAATGCATATACATACAGTTTAAAATATGAGATAGATCTAAATTGCAGGGATTTAATATAAATTTATTCATTATAAATCTCCAAGTATTAATACAGCTTCCTATGGTTCTTGAATTTTCAAAGATAATTTTCATGATTAGTTTAAGATATAATTTCATGCATTTTCAAGTCTAAAACCTCATTGATAATTGTAGTCATTTGTTATATTTGCAATAAATGAAGATTATAATTAGTTTATTAGTCGGTGGTTAATATTTAAGTATTCAAAAGAAAAAAAACAAAAATCATGGACGGTAGCTCACCTCATCATTTCCTTTATAAGGTGTAGAACCCTTACCACCAGAAATGCTAATTCCTAAGCCTTGTCCAACAAGTCTGGTAACATGTAATTTAATTTCTTCTTCTTCTACTTCTTCAACTGAGGAGGCTACGGCAGCATCAACAGCTTCAGACATAGATTCCTAAATAGGAAATGAAAGTCAAAAAGAAAATAAAATGAAATGGTTTTGTCATTAGCAAGTAATTTAAAAAGGATAGCATTTATCTCTGTTGGCAGGCTGGACTGAACAAATCATTAATTAAAAAAAAAAAGTAGACTGACAGAGAAAAAGCAAATATGGTTAGCATATAAAAAATTTATTTATATTTTGCCTATATCTATTTAAAAAGTTCAATTTTTCATTTGGACAACTCAAGGTGAAAGAATTAGATTATTATTTTATTTTTTTAACCAAAACTTCACAGCAAACAAGTAAACAATTATATATGGTTATTCATAATCAACTAAAATATTAAAAACAAAAAATATACATATTTTAAAATTAAGTTAAAAATATGTGCCTTATTTTGTTGTTTTTTATTATAAATATACTGTTTCTCAAAAATGACTGTTTAGGCATATTTCTTTTAGATAATAATGGAATGTTCAATTTATGTTAAAAAATGTTTTACATAAACTTTAGGATATTATAAAATTGACTTGATATAATATCCATGATTATGCCATTATCTAAAAATATGCCTCAGTAAAATTTCCAAGAAATATACATCCATGAAATATGGCATGTCTTTATACATACAAGAAATATGTTTACAAAAAAAAAAAAAAAAATAATAATAATAATATGGAGTTATGATAAAAATTAATTTGGTTTTAGTTTGATTCATAATTGGTTGCATTAGTCTAATATTTTAAAAAGGAAATTTAATTATTACAAGTAAAAAAAAATATTTTTACACTATTACAACATTGTTAATTTCCATAACTTACAACTGATTTTTAAAATATTCAAATACAAAATTTAAATGAAACAAAAAAATAAATGGCATTTTCATGCTATTTAAAGAACAATGATTTCTTAAGAGTATAGGTTTTGCCAAATCCAAGAATGAAGGTAATAGTTAATGAATTAGAAATAGTAGTAGTAATAATAAAAATTAAAAAAAAATAATTTACTAACAAGTTAACATTCCAAGTCAAAAAGCATTTTAAAACACCTGAAAAAAATTTAAAAAAAAAAAAAAAAAAAGTCTCCAAACCCCCACCAGTAACGTGGGGGTTTGGAGACTTTTTTTTAATTCAACAGGTATTTTTCAACTGAAAGAGGGTGATATTAATTTCTGATGTAGCATTTATTTTCTAAGGAAAAAGGATATTTTCATTACTGACCCACACTGGTTAATTCCATCACAATCTGAAGAATTTGCAGAAAAAAATTTATAATAAATAAATGTAAAATAGATCTATAGAAGAAAAGTAAGAATGTGGCAACCTATACTACTTCATTTTGAAAAATTTGTTTTCAGTGCCAACTAATGTTTTCCAGCTAAAAAGTTATGAGATTTCAATTGGTTTAAGTTCAATTACAGTTTAAAATAATAATATAAAATAATTCTTAAAATTTGAAACTGTTTATTCTGCAAAAAAATTCATTATGATCTTGAAGTTGTATCTTTATAGTGTAATAATTGATTAAACATTTTTTAGGTTACTTGGAAAATATGAGGATGGATTGAAAAGTTCTTTGCCAGCACTCTTCCCAAAATTGCATCAAATGATTAAATATCAGAATTTATTTCATAAGTTTCTTAGATGAGCTGAGAATTTTAGTACCTCATAGTAACAATAATAGGTATAAATTAAGAAAATGTAACATCGTTAATGGTACCTAGATTAAAAAGAATTCTAGATAAAATCATTTTCAAGAGTTTTATAATAATATGCACTCACACACACACAGGTGTTTGTCTAAGGCTGCTAAACAAACTGAAGGGCAAGTTTTAATGTGCAAAAAAATGAGAGGAAAAAAAAAAAACCACACAACTTCTGAGAAAATAACTCAAAATTAAAATTTAGAAACATTAAAAGAAGACATTTACAACTTTGGTAGACGTTTTTTAACAATAAGAAAAAGCAATAATATGTGAAAATTTGCTGATTGAAGGTGTCAAGAAACTTTAAAAACAATTTTCCACAAAATAGAAATAATAAAACAATACATAAAACAGCAGTGAATGGCTGCCCATCAAAGCACTCCAGTCAAAGCAACTGTCAAAGCTGATGTATTTGGCAAGTATCATTTTTTTGTATTATGATCAGCTTGCAGATCATTTCTGTTGAGAATTTGATGCTTAAACTTTGGCACAGGCTCTTTAGTAAAAATCTCTTGCTGGGAATAGATAACAAGTGAGACATGCCATAGGTGCAGGTTATGGGAAGAGATAGAAAGCATTATCTAAAAGGTTTATAAGTAATGCAAAAAGGTACAAAAAAAAAAGTAAATGAAATTTAGAGATATTTTCAGGCTGTGTGGATAGTTCAGCAATGATTTGTGATTTAAAATTAAAAAAGAAAGAAGAAAAGAAAAGATGGGGTAGATGAGGAGGAAGCATGCAGTTAGAGCATTAAAATCCAAAAGATAGAAGTTGGTCAGATACTGATGAGGGGGGTGGGGTAGGAAGGAAAAAGAAAAAAAAGAAAGAAAAAAAAAAAACCGAAAAAAACTAAGTTAAAATTTTATTAACTATATCTTGAAATTTTTTGCTTTGAAGCTACACAAAAGGAAAGAAACAGTATTTTTGTGTGTGTATGTATGTCCATTTTGTATATGGACACATGAGATACAAACAAAAGAGATAAACAGAACATTTAAGATTTTTAAAGCTTCTTTATGAGAAGCTAAGTGAAATTGATCTGTCAATGAAAAATTGAAAAGAATGATAACTACAAAATGACCAAGGGATGATAGAATAACTAAAAGACAAAACATGTGAGTAGAGTTAGAAACAAATGCACAACTAATAAAAGAAGGCTAAGGATGGTGTCAACCAGCACCAGCAAATGCTAAAGCAGAATCATAATAATATGAATATTTATGATTAACAATTCCCTCCTGATTGGCTGAATCATAGCAGCAAGCACACCTCCACCAAAGCAGAATAATGGTAGCCAGACAAAGAAACATTTCTAACAAATCTACATTTTTAATCATAAAGTAAAAACATTTAGCATGCATTGTAACCCAGATTACATTCCACTAGTGGATTTTTATTCTTAAATGCCTGTAAGAAAGATAATCAACTTTTTTATACATTGTTTGCAAAGGTGAAATATTAGAAATTAATATTAGTAAGAAGAAAACTAAAATATTTTTAAGTAACAGATGATAAATAAGAAAGAGATCTTCTTGGTACTCCAAAGAATGAGTGTTTGCTATTTTAAAGATTTAATCACTTAAAATCTCCAATCTTTGAACTTAATTGGGAACCTGAAATGTATGTATCACAGGAGTTTAAAGTCAGCTTTATTTTTAATAAAGCCAGTATTTATTAACATAAATCTGATAATGAATTTTTAAAGATCACTTTTGGAAACTACATTAATTTATACTATGGAAAAAAGAAAGAAAACAAAAATTAGTTTGAGGCTGATGTTTAATGAAGGGAATGGTGAATAGTTAAAAGAATCAAAATGTGAAATCACCAATAGAAATTAGGTCCCTAACTACCTATGGATTTTCTCCCTATTAAACTACCATATCATTTACAACTGCTTCAGACTGGTTTATTTTTTTTTTTAAAATTGGAGAGAATGAATGAATAAAAATGTCAAGTTAAATGTTGATCCATTCTTAGTATTCTTTTGAGATAGAGAGAAGACATATTTGTAATGAGTCACTATTATGAACATGGAAAGAAAAATGTCAATATGGTCTGCATGCATTTCGTTCAAGAATATTATTATTCCTCTAAAAACATCTTAAAATGTGGTGAAGAAGGGATTTAAGGTTAGGAAAAAAAAATAAGTAGCTTGATTCCTTGTATGAAACTGACACAGAAAGAGATATTTAGTATGAAGATTATTATTGTAAGACACTGACAGAAATATCTTTACAGAATTAAAATTTATCTAAGTTAGCATTTTCTTTAGAATATTTGTAAAACTAATTCATTTAAATTTTAGCAAAAAAAAACAAAAAAAACTCAGAGCAAACTTTTTGCCTCTTCTAATGTTTCGGACAGATCAATTTTAGAACAGTCACAGATTGAAGTGCCAAAAGATAATTAGATAGCAATCAACTGATGAGGATAATTCTTTTTCTGATATTGATTAATCCCTAAATTACAATTTTTTTTTTAGGTCTTATCACCTCGGCAAGCAAATAAAACACTATGTGGTAAAAACTTAAAACAGTTTTTGAAGCAATTTATGAATTTACATATTCTATGAACAATTTAGAAGTTAATAAAATGCTAATCACATGTTAATAGCAATTAAAAACTATTAATAAAACAATATTAGAAATTAATAGCTTTATATTAGTCATTATCACAGTAATTTTCCCAAAGCTTTTCCTATACACAAATGAGTTTTTTTTCTAGATTAGTCATAAAGGTAGAAGTGAATACAGCTTAAAGTATAAACGTCTTTGTCTATGAGGCATTACATAATTTATAATAATCTAATTCGAATACATATAAAAGAGTAATAAATATTTATATTTAAAATTATTTGATAAGTTGATATTTACAAAGCTTTAAAGAATGATGTCCTTTAGTATCTTAATGACAATTTAGGACATAAAACTAAAGTAACATTGGTTTATAATATTGTGATAAAACAATTGGTTAAAACTGAAAGTCAGTAGTGTTGGACTTAGATAAAAAACATGTGTCCTCATGAAGCAAACAGTCACTTTTGATCCAAAGTCAAAATCAGACAATATTATGTACCTTGAAACAAGTAAAACTTTCATTTGCACACACACACATGAGAATATATTTAATTGTTAAGCAATTAAAACAATATTTTTATGAGATCAACTGTTAGCTTTAATTAGTAAAGATAATATTGCAGATGGAAAATAGGAGTATGTTTTCTCACTGGTTATCAAAGCTCTAAAATCAATAGTAAGTATTAAGAAGCTTTGAAATTGACAAAAAGTTTCTTATCTACTGAATACTTATAATTAACAAAAGACATTAATTTCACACATGTGCTCATATTTACAAGAATTTTATTTAGACAGTTCATTTGTCTCAATTAAAGAAAACTTTCATCTTCAGATAAATGATAAGTCAACATTTTGCCATTTTAGATTTATCTATAAATTAAAGATAAACAATCAGTGCAAATGAATATTATACAATCTAAGAATTGTTTGGACTATTCATCTCATTTTTGTTTGTTGTTTTAGCAGTTTCATTCTATATCTGTATGAAATGAGGGATTTTTTTTTCTTTCCAAACAATGTCTTCCAATTTTCTTTCCCATTCCAACTGTAAAAAAAAAAAAAAAAAAAAACTGGTTGATACTAGAGAAAGAGACCCCTTCCATACAGATTTTATATTTAATGAAGATGGAAGAATAGATCAGTTGAAATATTGTGGTAACAACTAAAATAAACAATGTTATCAATAATATTAACAGCCTTTAAAATGATAATTTTTCATTTCCAAATTATAGAATGCAACATTCAAACAATATTTACGAACCCATGTAATATACAAAAATAATTACATTTTACCCCCATAAAGGACATTTTTATATCTGACAAAATTGCACATTTTATATTTTTTTGGCAGTTTTTTTTTTTTTTAAAATTTAAAAAAAATCAAGTTTATTTATTATATGATAACTGAATCAAAAGTAAATCATCTAAATTAAACTATTTGATATTACTTTCAAAATATATGTAGTTTGGAACATATTTTTTTAAATTCCTAAAATGAAAAAAGTGAAGTGAATAGTTTGCCTGGTTGTGTCAGTTTAAAATTATTGCTAAATATGAATTCTGAATCAGCTAAAATTAATATGAAAATTAAAGAATGAGTACAAGAAATTTATTTATTTATTTAACTCATTTGACCTAAGGAGTATTTTAAAGTACATTAATAAATTATTATCTGCCAGAATTTAAGTAAGAATGGCAAAAATGTTAACTGACCAATGATTTAACATATATATATATATATACACACACACACACACACACATCACTCATTGTGCTTTAACAAATATTATGTAAGAAACAAATATTTATGTTTTATCAATGTCACAGTAATCTAAGAGCACTTTTAAACAGAAACTTAATTCATTAGCTTTCAGTGTCAATTAAAAAAGTGCAATTTGAACTAATCTTTAAAATTAAAAGATGTGTGATGAAAAGTTTGGTCATATTTTGAGAAGTGGATCAGGCCAAAAACTTTTCAGCATCATTTCATAATTATAAAGAATTCTTATTTTAAATGTTATGTTGGTAAAGAGAAGTGCCCACAAATGACATGACAGATCTGTGGTACTGAAGTACTACATTAATCAATATCATAAAGGAATCATATGCATTGAATTAATGGTGCATGAATAAAATTTCTTTAATATCATCAGTTAAATAAATGTTAATTGGTTTTTATAAATAATGTTTATTTTTATTAAGTAGAGCATAGTATTAAAAATAGATAATGTGATTAAAACACATCAAAATCAATTTCATTGGGATCACAAAATGTGGGTCCTCAATGCTTTATAATAAATACATGTAAAATTTCCAAATAGATTAATAAAATATTTAACAAAAGTTAAATCTAATTTTTTTTTTTTTTTTTTACAAAACATTTGACTCGATGACTTGCAAAACTTGTAATGATATTTATGTCACAATATTGTCTGAGGTAGTAAATACCTTTTCTCTTTAATCATTAATTTATAACTTAAGTTAACTGATTATTACTATCTTCCTCTGCATAGATTTGATCAGTATGCTCTCCAAACACCATGACTGTCCAATGATTAAAAAAGTTAACTGAAATATCATTTTAGGGTAAAAACAAAGATGAAAACTTACAAATTACAAATATTAGTGTAATTATGTCTCTGCAAATATCAACTTACAGTTACTTAATAGATATGTCTAAAGCTTTAAAAGATTAAATGTTTTTCTTTTTCTTTTTTAATGTTTCAATTGATCAATGCCAGTTGAAAAAAAATCTGTCCTTTTTATCAAAAGTAACTTCATTTATAAACCAAAAGGAAACTTTAATGTAGTGATAAGTTAGACATTAATAATTTCCTAGACAGCTTATTGAAAGAGTATAGGAATACAGACCAGCAGGGCTAAAGATATAACTCTAGCACATTGTGGTAAAATAAAATTAGTTTAAAGCAAATGCAAAGAACCCACCCTCCTAGCAATCATTTGTAAACTCTTCAAGAATAATGATATGAATATCTGTTAAAAAGGCAAATGAGCAAAAGATCAGACAGTAGGTTTTTTTTTTTTTGGTTTTTTAAAGAAAAATCATTAGACTTAAAAAAGCAAATATTTCAAGAAAAATAGGGAATAAAAAATCAAAAATGTGGAAAGGGGAAACAATCACCAAATAATTTTTAGAAGTTGTATTTTTTCCTGTTCATGTCTTGCTCACTGTTATTAAATTTGCCAAATAGACAAAATGTTGATTTTGCAAAAAGAGATGGAGGTACAAAAAAAATTTCTAATTTAGCCCTCAAGCTTTGCTCAAGCATGTGCAACCAACACCATACTGACCATTCTAAGGGAAGGGATATTGAGGAAAAGGCATTTCCATTACTTATAACATGCAACTAATGGCACTGAAGGACAATCTAAAGAAGAACTCAGGAAGCTAAGATGATCAATTAATTGCAAAGGAAATCTGCATTGAAAAACTAGACATTATTAATAAATAAAAAAAAGGGTGGGGAGAAGGAAAGACATGGGGGGAAAAAAGACAGAGAAAAATGATTCAGTAAGAGAAAGGATGAGAAGAAAAAATTCACCTGTTTGAAAAACAAATACCTAGAATATATATATATATATATATATATATATATATATATAAGACAAAAGATTGCCCAAGAGATAAAAGGATGAAATATCCTTCAGGTATTTTTGGCAAATTGAGTGCCTTAGAACAACTGATGAGAAGGGGGATGCAGCACCACACCTCTTTTGTGGGAGGAGAGGATTGAGGACGCAATAATTGAAGAGGTAGTGGTAGAAAATTATGTTTTCATGTTTCCTTTTACACATGGAAACTAAACAGAAAACCCAACCAGCCCACCCGTTGGTAGCTCCTTCCTACCTTGAGGATTGACTGCTCCTCCATTTTGTCCAATTTGGCAGCAGCAACCGCCTGGGCCAGGATTTCGCGCACTTGATCCGCATCGTCCTTCGAGGCCGTCACGTTGATGCGCTTGTTCTTTAAGTGGTGCGGTGTATCCCGGCGCCGGAGTTTATTTTCTTTCTCAGGCTGATCTTCAATCTCAGGGGGGAAAATGACACGCCTGCGTTGGGGATCTACCTGCCGTACAAAATAACAGAACAGTAAATACTAACTCGACAGGTATCTACCGTTGTTTATTTTTTTTTCATTTTGCCTTCTGCTGATGGAGATGCTGTTGTGGCTGCAGCAGTGATGAGGTCTGAGGACTGGGCTAGTACATTTTGGTAAGGAGCCAAAGGGAGGAATTTGCATTTTTTACTATTTAAGTTAGCTTTTTCTTTTCTTGTTCAAAGATAATTTTTTTAATTGTCAAATAAACGTATATAGACAAATTTCTATTTGATCTTATCTGTCATTCTTGGTAGATACTCAAAGCAAATTAACAGTAAGAAGTGAAATTATTCTGAAAACAACCTATATAAAACTAATTTTCAAAGTCAAACTTTATTTACTAACGTCCTCTATTTACAGGTTGATCTTACCAAATTTATCGATGCTATACAGATTTCTATTGACGATTCTTTTCATGAAGAGCCTGACCAGGATGATGCTTATTAATATAAATTTCTTCCTAGAATTGTACTTCTGCTTCAAAATTTGTATTCAATCTTTATGCTATAACAAAATGAAATAATTAATGCAGATATTTAATTATACAAATAAAACTTTTGAGGATTGCAGGCATTTTTATTGTGAAATTATTAGCGTTAAATTATTAGAAAAAAAAAAAAAAAAAAAAAAATCAAGAGAAAAATATTTTCATACTAAAATATTGTTTTGAGTGTTTTATCAAACTTCCAAGTTTCAAGTGATTCATCCAAATGCATACAAATACACACACATCTAAGTAAAATTAGATTCAATTTGCAGATTTTATATAGGCTGATACTTAAATTTTTTTATCACTATTCCAACAGATATGAGCAACTATTTTATCTTTGCTGAATGAAGATAATTTAAGAAACCTAATATTAAGATTTAAATTTTCCACTACTTTTAGTTTCTATGATCAGACACATGAGAGTTTTTGTACTATTAAACTAAAACCAATTCATTTAACTATTTTCAGAGAGTGGATATCACTCAAACTTTGTCATTGATGAAAAAAGCCCAAGAAAATAGAATTCTGATCTAATAAGAAATTTAGAACTAAATTTATGTATTTCTCTCATTTGATTTAGATAACCATCAACATGAATCAGGAAATTTAAAAGCAAAGTTCACATAAGTGAAAATTTTTTTCATCAACAAAATAAAAACACTAAATCTTGTCTTAATATTAATGATCTTAAAATTTGGTAAGCAAAAGAGATAAAAAAAAAATTATAAAAATCAATAGGCAGAGAAAGATGCTTGTTCCAATAGATGAGCCCAAGTGAAATAAAGTTTAAGAATCAACAGTGCAAAACTATTTGCTGCAATATTGAATAAAACTAGTTAAAATTTTTCTTTTTCTACTAGACAAGATTTAAAAAAAAGATCCTAAAGGGTGACCTTTGATATTATAAACCAACAAAATTAGTGCTGCATGCATTTGTCATCTTGGTATATAAAAAAAATGGTGTTAAAATCTATGCACACATCAACTACAAAGACTATAGAAAAAAAGAGATAACCATGACAAATTGAAGAAGCCTAAAAAAAAAAAAACAATAAATAAATAAAAAACCTAAAAGATGACATTCCTTGCAGATGCCTAGGCAGTTTTGAGTTTTCTACAGGCCAAAAGAAGAAAATAACTGATTGCTGAATAAACAAAGTACGACCAAAAGAAAATCTCTTAATTCACTAAGCAAAATCAACTATAAAAATAGCAAATTTAATTAGAGAATGCCCTAAAACAATGCAACAAAAAAACTGACATTCTTTTCGTTAGCTTCATTTGAGAATTCTCAGTAGAATGTTTAAGAAAACATAAGTGCTGTTTTTTTTATTTCCCACTCATCTCTTTTTCAAGTATTGGTTGAAAATCACCAGGCCATAGTGAGCGGTTCCCATCTCCCATGAAAACAAGAGATTGGTATGGGTTTATAGATTAAAGCAATTTCATCCTAAAGAGATCTGGAAATATCAAGTTTAAGCTGACAGATTACTGTTATTGACAGGGCAGGTGGTTTTGGTTGTAAATGTTTTGATAAGCTATTTTCAGCACACACAAAGTTTTATCAAGGATAGGTGTGGGAAAAAATAAAATATTTAAATTAAATAAGTATAATAAACAAAAAGCAATGTTGAAGAGAGGTGGGTAGAAGATGCTTGACAGGGCTCTAGCCTAGGTGAAAAGTGAGAGTCATGCTTGGGAGGGAGGTGCTCAGACTACGACCAAAAGTGAAGTCACCAATGCACTAAAAAGAATAGAATAATGATAGAGCTGACAAAAGGTCACTCACACCCACACTAGATTCCAGCTGCTCTGGCTGCAATACAAAACCCAGGTTGATTTTTTTTTTTCTTCTTGCCCTCCTTTCTCATAAAATGTACTTACCCCAAAACATGTCGACAATTTCAAGAAAGGCAATGACATTTACAAAATTCGAAAAGCAAGAAGACCTAACATTTTTGGAAAATAAGGTTAAAACAGGAGTTTGTTTTTGGTATAAACAGATAGGGATGAAAATTAAAACAGATTATTAAATGTTCTGTTCCCAAAAGACAATTCATATATTTAAAAGAATGAATATCCAAAAGAATATTTTTTCAAAAAGAAGAATGTTAAAAATTCTAGTAAATTTGATAAATTAAAAATGAAGTTTGAATTTTTTATAATTTCAGGATTCTGATTTGAATTTTATCAATAAAACACAAGAAAATCTTAAGAAATGTAAATGTAAATTTTGCTAGTTCATTGCGAAAGAAAAAACAAAAACAGAGTACTTTTTATAAAAATGGGAACAGGAGTTGAGTAACTAATTTGCTCCAAATTTTCGAAGCTAAAGGTTCTCCTGAATGAAGATACACAATTTTTTAAATGTAATTTTAAAGCATTAAGTGATAGCAAAATGTTAAGGAGACAAATGTCACCAGTAATAACACCAAATGAATGACAACATTGTAAAAAAAAAAAAAAGGAAAGAAAAAAAGACAACACTGAAAATGACAAACAATAAGAGATTTGGAAACAAACAAGATTTTTTTTTTTTTTTTTTTAATAAGTTTGTTTAACTATAACAGTAACTGTTCATGAATAAAATTGCATATATTTTAACTAATTTTTGCCTTTTAAATTAGTTTTAAAAAATTGTTTCAATACATATACTTAAGATCATTAAATAGGGGATAACCATTACAGAAATTATATCAAAGAAAGCACCTTCTTTCTTAATAGATCACTGCTTAGAGTTAGATTATCCTAGGATAAATTTTTAAAATTTAGAGATATTTTATATAAATAAAAGAATAAAATTTATGGCTTTCAGTAATTTTGCTATCATATGATTTTAAAGTGAAGAGTAAGACATATATACCACCATAATTTAAAAAAAGAAAAGAAAAAAAAAAAAAGAAGCATACGTCAGACATAGGTATCATATCCGAATTAAAGAATGCAAAACTGGGAAGATCAAAAAGGGAAAATTGAATTACCACCAAATGTGGATGCAAAGAAAAGAACAATTTGTAATGGGGAAGGGATTCTCACCAACAGAAAATTTAAAATAAAAAGTGGCAGATGTTAAAAAGGAGGAAATGGAAAAGCAATAAGAAAACACAACAAAAATAAAATAACCTTTTTCCAGAATAAAAATTAATAACCTAACTAAAGAGATTAATTTAAGTCTTTTTTGTTCATGTACAAAGTAATATGGAACAAAAGTTCTTTGAATTAATAGATTATAATTGCGACAAATCAAAGACATTAGAATCTTTTAAAAAAATCTTTAAATATAAAACAGACCTTGTCATAAGAAAAACAAGTATATCCACTACAGAATTTAAGACATTAAATAAATTCAGGTGCCCACATCACTATATATCTAAAAACTGTTTGAGATATTTATCTGTAATTGCTATCAAAGAGAAAATATAGAAAAACTGAAAAGGGTAGAAAAGAGCTCCATGAAAATAGATCAATATCAAGAAAACTTCTTCAATATAGAAAGAAGTGAAGTGACAAGAAGAAAAAGGAAAATATAACATGTTTTAAAAAAATCTGTTTACATATCTTGTTTCTATCAATATATATCTTGTGTTAATTTATCTTTATTGTACTGAGGTGCTATGCATAGATTTAGACTTAATCCTCTTGTAGGAGTATGATGGAATCTGTATAATCATTAATTTGTGAAATCCCAACATTAAAACTGGGTCATTTTAAAGCAAGCAATCTCATTTGTCTGTACTACAAAGGTTAACTAAAATTTAAATGCCTAAGAAAATTATGCAGAAGAGCATAGAGAAAAAGGAGGAGGAGAGTCCAAAGATATAAAATATGTACAGTATAACAAGCCATTCCGGTTTTATCTAAAAGAAGAGAGAAAAGTTAAAAGCTTGCTTAGCCTGTAAGATTAATTAACTTACCTTAAGTTATGGCTGGACAATCAGAGCAAGCCAAGTTGAAAGAATGATGTCAGCAGACATTTATCAATGATGTGATGCCTAAGGACAGGATGCAAGCTGTGCTTCTTCCTCCTTCATTTTACTCCAAGCTCTCATCCTTATCCCCTCCCAGGAGCCATGCTATCACATGCACACACACACAAATTGTGGAGCTTCTCTTTGACAGATACATAGATATTAAATGCAACACTAAATGACAACACCAGTAAAGTTTATTGACATGATGTTCTGTTGGTTGGTTAGTAAGCCAAAAATCGTGCAATAAAAGAAAATGTAATCATAATTGGTAGGAAGGAAGACAAAAAGTCAAACACTCAAAATTTAATTTGGATTGTATACAAAGATATAAATAAACTACTTAGGATGTTTCTAAATATAGTAAACAAATTAATCTTAAATGGAAATTTAATAAGACTGTAAACTTAATGATTGTTCCTTTCATAGTGTAAACATAACTGTATAATAAAATAGTAAAACAGGTTTTAAATAATTCCAGTCCCTTAGTTTACTGAGAGAAAAAAAATCACAAATAATCAACAGTGACAGATTTTAAATTTGTAACTAACACATAAAATCATAGTCATTCATCTTTACTATAATATGAAAATGTTTTAATGAATTGACCATTAAAAGCTTTGTTGCAGATATCACTCAACTGATGCCAACAAAGTCAAATACTAGTTATCTATTTTTTGAAACATAAAATTGGATAGTTTATTTCATTTGTGCATTATATTTATATCTCCATTATTTAACTAAAAACAGGTCATGGTAAATAAGTTTTGCTGAGTGACAACAAGATTATTTAATGGTTAAAATATAATTAAACAAAAAATGAACATTCATCTTCCAAATTTAAGTTTAGTCTTTTTGAGAACAACATCAAATATATATATATATATATATAAACAAACTGCAACTGTCAGCAAGAAGCAGATAACAGTGATCCAAGTGTGTACAAAATGGCCTGTTGCTCAAACTTTGAGTCACTAGTTATTTCTTTGTTTGGGGGAACAGAAAAATGTTAGATTGAAAATGGTTGCTTTCTATTCCTTTTCTACATCTGTGAAACATGGAGAGTTCTAAGAAATAAAATGTCATTTCAGAAAATATTTGAAATGATGTCCATTACTTACATAAAACTGTTTAGAAAAAAATATTTTGTATTTCTCATAGTTACAAAGCTTAAAAATAATTTGGTCTATTATAATTTTGCCATACAATTGATGAATACAAAGTTGAAAAAAGACTTTGAAATTAAGAGAACAGTTAAAAAAAACATTGATAAATTTTACTTCTTTAATTATTATTTTCTGTTTTGCTATGTTCTAAGTATCTAATTATTTAGAAAGCAATTTTATCAATACAGATAAGGAGAAATTCTTCTCAAATGAATTAAACATTTTGCCCTGCCATAAATGAGAAAGTAACAATTTTATTTACCCAGTAGTTTCTTATAAAACTTCATGACTTGCCATAAAATACAATTATATATAATAAGTAACCTCAAATATTAAAATATACATCTCCAAACAACAAAGGATAAGAATCTAAAAAGAGTAATATATTTGTGATATTTTTCTACAGACCTCATTAATAGGTAAATTATATTGAGAAACTAATAACCTTAAAAATGTCATTAGCTTCAATAAAAATGAATGCCAACTTTCTGTACTTCATACAAAGTCATTGGGAAATCAGAAAACATTTTGCAGAACAAGCTATTTTTTGAGAAAACAAACAATGATTCTAAATCTGCAAGGAGATAAAGTATGTCCATATTAGAGATACAAGTCAGAAATATCTTCTTGGTATCCAATTTCCTTATTCTGCTTTATACAAACTTTATTTAATGAGAAAAAAATTAAATCTTTACTGTTGTGTATTTGTGTTGAGAAGGATAATGTGAGAATGTACACAATGCTCGAACAATTCTAATACTAACAACTACAGCTGACATCTACAACTACATCCATATCAGAAGCTGAAAATTGAGGGAGAGATGTGATCAGTTGTATTTTGAAAATTTCTGTTAATTTTTTCTCATCTTACTCATAAAATTACTTTGAAAAAAATAATTTTTCTTACTTTACAATGGCAGCATTTTTATCAATAAAACTTATAAAATCTGGAAATTGTACACTAGGACCTACTTAAGTGAATAGGAAACAAATTAATCTTGAAATGAAGTAGTCACATTTATTTTTATTGGAGAGAGAGAGAAAATACCTTCAAATCTGTCAAGGTGGTTTGGATCAAGGTCAGTATTTTCATAAATATAGAGTATGCCAGAATTTGCGAACACCTTTAACAGGCCATAAATAGAAGACAACCCAACAATATTAAGCAACATGTACTAAATTTATTTTTTGTCAATGTATTGAAAGCAGTAAAATGACATCTTCCAATCTGACATAGGAAATGAAAACGCATACTGTGCTCATGACACTAGCCACCAACTACAGCAACTCAGAGATTGTTAACTTCTTTAAAGTAGCCAGGTTATTTATGAGCTGGAGGCAGGAATGTGTCATTCATGATCAAGAGCAAGAAACATTCTAAGGAATCTGTCCAACTGGTTCAAGACATCAACCATGATCCCAGGACCACTGTGAAGCAATTCAAAGTGGCAGAATCCACTATCAAATGCAGGTAGTGCATGAAGACATTAACTAAAAGTGACAAGGAGAGAGCAGTCCATGCCCAATAAGACACAAGAGAACCACATGATCCACTTGCTCAACAAGCTCAAGTACTCTAAAGCCAGGCATACTAATTTTCTTCTCCAACTTTAACAAAGACTTGCTGAATAAGAGGAATTATAGCTGGGCCTACATGAACTTTATGGGGATACTCAATGATGATGATGATGATGATCAAGTCTTGGATGTAGGCTTTGATTAACATGAGCCACTTCTTTCCACCAGCCTTGAGACTCAAAGCTACCATCTACACCCAGATGATGGACATGGTGATCAAGCCCTGGATCAAGAGGGTGGCTGAGGGGAAGATATACATGATCAAACAAGAGACTACTGTGGTACTGGCTGACAATTTTAATGATTATGCCAGACCAAGATGTGACCTTCTAGCTTTCTTGATTTGAATCCCTTCAATTATTATATCTGAAGTGTTGTTGAGAGCAAGACCAACCAGTGATTCCTGCAAGACCACAGATTTGTTGAAGTCCACCATTATGAACATGAAGACCAATATGAATGAGAACCATCTGATTAGAGTATGCAGTAGCTTTCCAGACTGCATCATGGCCATCCTCAACTCTGAGGACAGTTTTATAGGATAATTTTTTTTCTTCTTTTCCAAGGTGAACAGGTGCATAATTTCTTTATTTTTTTTAAGTTACTGATTTTTTATTGAATATCTGTTTTCAATTACTTGGCACACCTTGTATTGCAGATATTTATAAGGAATATGACAAATATTAATAAATTCATCAGCACACATTCCTTTTCACTAAGAAAAAATGCTTATATATTAAAATTACAAAAGATGAGCATAATAGATCAAATATTTATTTTATAATGGTTAAAAACTATAAACTGAAAATAAGAAATTATGAGAACTGCACATACAAAAGAGAAAGTAAATTGGAATCTAGTCATGTTATTGTTGAAAAGGGAAAATACTGATACAAATAATCATAATTAAGACAGTTTTACTTTGTTGTCTCAATACATACACTTTAGTGCATGGATTGAGACAACAAAGTAAAACTTGTTAGAAATATTTTTGAGCAAATTAAAATTTCATGAATAGCTCAACATAATTTAATACAGATTTAATATTAATATCTTTTAATCAGTAAAAAAAAAAATCAAAAAAAGAAAAAATCACTTAACTTTTAAGGCTCAACTTTAAGATTACAGTGAAGTTACTGGCAAGAATTTGTCTTCAAGCTTTATACAGTGTGCAGCAGAAATACCTCACACATGACATTAGTGACAAGGGTGACTTCATCTAGCTAATGTCTTATTATTACATTACAGGTATTTCTGCTGCACATTGTATATTCTATTTGCTACTCAAACATCTACTTTTGACAAATTATAGTAGATCAAGTCTCAAAAGTTAAAATAAGTGGTTATGATCAAAAATGTAAAAGCTTATAAGATTTATTGAAATAAACGATAAACTTTAAATGAATGTCAGAAAACAAATTCTCAATCTATATTATAAAGTTTCTTTGACATAAATATTCCAAAGGAAAGTAATTATCCTGGGCTAGTAAAGAAAATAGACAAAATTTGATATTTCCTTAAATAAATGTCATTAACTGAAAGCCAATAAGTATTTAATAGTCAACTTGGTATTTGTCAAATGACTTTAATATCTAAGACAATAGATGCTTAAGAAAAACCCCTCAATTTTAAGAAATGATTTAATTCATTTTTTAGCCTATTGACTTAATAAGCTGCCTGATTTAAAATCTAAAAGAAAGAAATACTGATCACTTTCCATCAAAATTAGCTTCTAATATCAAGCAAAAAAAAAAAAAATCAAACAAAAAATCTGGAAATTAGAAAATGCCATACCTCGTCATCTGCATATTCATTTTCAGAAGTGCCAATATCCCCATTCTCTTGTTCATTCTCAATATAGTCAGTATCAAGAGAGTCATTAGGTTGCAATGATTTCTCTATGGACACAGACATGTCCATCTCATCTGAATCTATCTGGGGACTAGCTGTACTAGGGCGAGGTTTTAAGGGTAAGCGTGAGGGCAAGAGAGGCTCAGTCTCTTTAGACTGTTCTTCAGTTTCTTCTACTTCAACTTCAGGCTGAGCTTGTACCTCCTCCTCCTCCTCCTCTTCTTCCTCCTCCTCCTCCAACGTGACCTCTTCTTTTGGTGGAGCTGATACAGTAGGCTGATAGCTAACATCAGCTGCAGGTGGCTGGTAAATATCATTCTCTGCAAAGAAAAAATGTTTAAATGAAGTTCTAACAATAACTACTCACTAAACAAAAAGGAATGAGTTTGAAAATTTGTCAAATAGCTTTCTTACAATCTACTGCACAATCTAAGAAAGTAAAAAGTATTTAGAGCATATACATGTGTATGCATGTGCAGATATGCACATGCACCCACAAAATTACTTTTCAAACAAGTTAACATTTTTTTACAACAAGGATTTAGCAAAAAGGAGTAAATGTATGCCAAATAAATTAGCTTGCTGTAAAATTACAAACCATATCACATCTCAACATGTGGTAATAGATGAAAATTGAAACAAAATGACTGGATTTATTTCACATCTAACATGTGTTCATCACTTTAGATTTCACTTAGCTTATTCTGGTTAAAGGACCATAATAGTTGCACACCCTCACAAGTCTACAAAACTAAATATTTTTTATATGACTATTGTCAGATAATAATGTTAATATTGTAAATAAAATAAACAACATCAAACATACAACTGAATTTACTTATGAAATAGATACAAACACTACTGTTTTTTGATATCATATTAAACCACACTGATAACCTCAAATTGCTTAATGAAAAATCAACTAACAAAAATGTTAATTATATGTTCCAACTTAAAAGCATTTAAAATTTGTAGCCCTCAGTATTTACATGAGGAAGAAAAATATACTGAAAATGCTTTTAAATTCCACCAATATCCTAATCATTTTATTTATTTGAAAATAAATGGTTAATGTTTGCATATATCTGTATCGTAAATTATTCTTTACAAACAAATTTTGATTTCATTCTTATAATTCTAAAAATCATAAGAATCTAGGATTTGTTACAAAATCGACAGAAACTAAAAAGAAAACTCAAATAACCTTGGTGAAATCAGGCACATGATACAACCTAACAATTCAATAATGACTACAATTGAAAAAAAATTAACTACACTTAATATAAAATTTAAAAAAATCTACAAAAACAAGACATTTAAAACAAAACATTAAACCTGAAACAGGAATTTATAAAATAAGACAACAAAAATCTCCAAAAGAGACATCGAACAATTAAAATAAATATATAAACAATGAAATGAGTTTTTACAAAATAATATACTCAATGCATTAGTCATTCATCATAATAGATCTGACCATAATTTTAACTTAAAGAATGCAGTTTATTTAAAGGAGAAATTAATTTATTAAAGTGAAAATAAAAAGTGTACTAATTAAATGTAAATGTAAACAATAAAAAGAAAAAAAAAATGTAAAAGGCCGAATGAGATAGGCTGTTAAACATCTAGATACATCGGAAATCAAAATTTAAAATGTAAATTTTTGTATCTTCAACAATTATATGTAAAATGAATCGGAAACCAACAAAAATACAAATGCTGGTTGGGAAATGAGCAACAAATAAAAAACATTGAGGTAAGCAAAAAATATTAACAAAGGGAATTAAATGCCTGAGGAGCTAACAGTATGACAAATCATAAAAATATAAGTATACAAATCTACAAGAAAAACCAGCAACATGCACAAGAAAAGAAATAAGCCAAAAGATTTTAGCCAAAGATTAAAATAACAACAAATTATTTCAAAATGAAAACAGATTTTATAGACAGATACATGGAGAATCAACAGAGAACACAACAACCAGATGCTAGAGAAACAAGAAATTTCTGGAATAGATGATGAGAATGCAGAAAAGAACACTAGAATAGCAGAAAGGCTGACCAACATGAAAAGAACTTAAAAAACCTGAAGAATAAAAATTGCAACAGCCAAAAGTTACATGGGAATAAATATAAAGACTAACAGAACCAGGAAATGCAAAAATCAGAATCCAAAAATGGGGAGATAAACAATGATACATTTCTGAAGAAAAAATTGGAGGAATGCAGATGAAACAAGAACCTATTATATGAAAACTAAAATATATGGCAGACTGTGAAACAACCAACCTCATAAACAAATTCAGTAAGCTAGTTCAGAAAGAATATAAATAGGCATGACCGAATAGGAAGGGATATCCACTGGAAACTGCATGAGCAACTGTTTTGACCATACAGACCATATACAATCTATGCATACAGGAAAAAAAATCATAAATACAAAAATGCTAACTGTTGAACCAAAGGAATGAAGTTATTTTTGAATACTGACATAAAAACAAATTAAAATTACCTGAAAAAACATTGACTTTGAGGGAAATGCTTTTGTGATTTTAGTTCCTATTGTATATGGGTACAAGCATATATGTGTACTTGTGTTCATATGTATGTGCTTGTCTCATATATATATATATATATATATATATATATATCTGGTGTTGTATTTGATTATTTATGTGATTATCATGCTAATGGTTACATCATATATATTATGCATTATCATTACTCTCTCTATATATATATATAATTATTTTTTTTTTTTACTTATTTATTACTGTTATCTATCTTCTTGATTTTTATAATTTTCTGGAGGGTTTTTTATTATTTATTTTTTGTTACATGTAGATATTATTATTGTTGTTGTTGTTGGTGGTGGTGTTGTTGTTGTTGTAGTAGTAGTAGTAGTAGTAGTATGTATGTATTATATGATGATGATGATGTCATTTATCCAAATACCCTTTAACTGCCTTTTTGTGAACTTTGTTTGACACATTGTTATAACTGTTAAATTTGACCTTCCTATCCCTTTACCCTCCTTTACCTGTTATATTAATTTATTCTCTCAATGTAAGCCCCTAAGAAAACTTTTCTAGGGCAGTTTATTTTTGCTATTGTTTCATCTTGCAATTTTTTTTTTTTTCTTTATTTCCTTTTTTATCTTTGTATATCTGTGTCTGGATATATTGATTCCATTTCAGAAAATATAGTCGGTCTGTTGAGATGAATATACCTATATTCATTGAAATACATTTTTTATCATATATAGATTTTTAATTTTTTTTTTTTATAATTTGCTCTGTATCATACACTGAGCTCTCATATGGACTAAAAGTCTTCTTTGGAATAATTACAATTTTGTATTATACATATACATATATATATATATATATATATATATATATATATATTTATAATAAATTTGGATATGTAATTCCAACAGAGTTATAAGTTATTGATATCTGAAAAAAAACTTTGATGAAAATAGGTTTTAAAAAATAATATCCGATAATGCATTTTGCCTCTAATAGCTTCATCAGATGGATAATGAAAAGATGTCATGTGTGTGTATGCATTTGTGTGTGTTTAAAATAATATATTACAGACACAAAAACCAGAATATATTTTCCAGAAGTAAAAAAAAAAAAAAAAAAATAAAAAATAAAAAAAAAAATCTGCTGAGGCCATTCAGACAATGACACTTCTGAAAACAACTTGAATACTGAGAAGAGTGATGGAACATTACAAAGATTTACTCTCAGCCAGTCTCCAACATAAATTATCAGTTGCAACTGATGTGAAATTACATAGTTCAGTGAATGACAGTAAATTAAAATAGAAACTACATAAAGAAACAAAGTGTCATTTAGGAGGGAAAAAAATTTTATACTAACCTCGAGGAGGTTTGGTCATCATAGCTGGTGGTATGGTCTTCTTCTCCAAATAAGCAGAATCATCAGATTCTTCTAGCCAGCGAGGATCTCGTTGTGGCATAAAAGACTGATCCTGGATAAAACAAATGAATTTAATAAAAGGAGAAATAAATGTGGACAAAGGAAACACTAACTAACAAAGATTAAATGTATTATAAGGGAAATTATTTAAAAGTTAAATAAATATTCAAACACCAGTCTTTTATAATTAACAATATTGGCCACACAAAAATATCAGGTAATGTTGCTCTACCGAGAAATTATGTATTTAATCTCAGCTAAAAATTTGTATATATATATCTGTGACTGATTACATAAGATAAAAAGTGAGGTAAATGATAAAATACTAGGGAAATGCCAAATTCAAATGATTTATTAATTTGGTTGATTATTCCAGAGACTTACAATAAACATTTACAAGGATGTGGATAGGAGTTTTATATATTTGTAAAGATATCAATATTTCGATATATACATTTTCTTTTGAGCAAAGTTAAAATTTGCAAACAAAGGACAACAAAGAAGAAATTAAAGAATTTTTATCATCTAATGTCAAATTTGCAGTTTCATTTCTGGTATGTAAATCACAAGATAAACTATAGCACCAAACAGCAATAACCAGCTATTAAGCTCGATACTGCATTTACCAAAAATTGTTAGTTATGGAAGTGCTAAATAGCTATCTCATTTACTCTAGAGAGCAACTAAACTTAACTGCCAAAATTAATTATAGACAAAAATATCATCAAGCAATGGTGTACCCTAAATATAAATTAAAAATATAAAGTTAAACTGTGAAAAAGGAAAAGTATACAAATAAATTAAACATACTTTTTTCTCTTCGTGCGGAATGACGTGTCCATCAATCTCCTTCTTCAGCAGTTTAGCATGCCGGGTCTTCAATTCTCGAGGATGTGGGGTACCATGACGTCTCAAATTGGTACCCTGAAAATGGACAAAAGTGGCACATAATTAATGAGTGACTAAATTGTTCATTGACATGTAATGACAAAAATATCTCAACAGGTTTAAATACTATTAATTTCCCTACAGGATTTTAAGAATGAGATATCCACTTCTGCTAGCTTGACTTTGTTACTTACATTATTTTCAACCATGACGTGAATATATTATTGTAGAATCATTTGCAGGAATTTTTATGGCAATTTCAGATCAAGTAAAATGAGTATTTCCTCTTTGTACATAAAAAGCATTTGCACACAGTATATTTGGTAGCATATAAACTCCTCCCCCTACCCATTACATTTAACTTTAGTGTATTATTGAGTAAGGCTAGGTTAAAGTAATGATATACTATAATGTCCACGTAAAAAATTAGCCTACTCAAGACCAGTAGATATTTGTGTGTCATATCTTTCTTCCTTCTTCATCCTCCACTAAATACAGTAATCATTTTTTGAGTAAGCATTTGAAAATAGATCATCTATATGAACTGACTTCAATAAAACTGGATAACAAATCTTGACTAATTTAGAGTTTATTACAAATAAAAAAAGTGAATTTTGGTATACATTGTGTTGCAGACTTTTGCCTTTATTTTTAATGTCCCTCTAAAAACCTTCACCCTGTATACTGAGTGAAAATCTCATTTGTACCTTATGATTTATGTTAATACTATATTAAATAAATCTAAGTCTAAATAATATTTTTCAACCAATCCCAGTTGATCAACAAAATTAATGTTTAATAATTTATAAACTGTAACTTCACTTTAATTGAACAATTTTCAAAATAGCCTTCATAACAGATTATGATTTTTGAAAAATTCCTTTATGTTATTTTTTTTTTATTGATGTGTTTGTCACTAACAAGATTAAACTTTTATCTATTGTCAATAATTTGCAAACAGGACAGTAGAATGTAGTTGTACTTATAACAGTTCACATTAAAGAGAACAGCTAATAAAGTGAAACTTGTTATGCACTTTATATCCAATGTTTGTTGATGCAAAAATTATCAATGTTTGTGTGAGATTCAAGTAGTCAGCAATTATCAATTTTTAAAGAAATTATTGAATAAAATAATATGAAGTTAAATTAAAAAAATATCTACTCTATTAAAATTCTGACTACTTGAAACAATTATCAAGAGTTTTTAAAGGAGATATAAGATGGTATGTTTTGGTTTGAAAATTTTCTATCCTTGTAATAGGGTAAAATAAATATGTTTATAGCAGCACTGTCAATTACTCAAAGTAAAGAAATTTACTAGATACAAAAGTAAGCAAAAAATAAGATTATACAGCATGAAAAAGAAGATAAACAACAAGCAAAACAAATAAAATGAAAGCAATTCAATAGCAACATCAATTAACATCTGTATACTTCCTACATTTGATTATCAACATTTAACCTTATGAATTCAATATTTGCAGTTTGAAAGTGTAAAACAGATCTCAAGTTTATATGTACAAGATCTACCATTGCTTAAAGAATTTTAGAGAGAAAATAAAAACAAGTAGAATAATATTCACCAGAGTTGTACTATATTTCCAAGCATACAAGGTCACTTATTCTAAGTGAGTTTCAGTATTTTTGAGTCAATAGTTAAAATCTTGTTGGTAATATTTTTAAATGTTGGACTGTGTACTGCTCAAATATTAATTGAAATCAGTTGTAATACTGAACAAAAGAATCATTAATATATAGTGTTTGCTACAAGTAGCAACGTTCTGAGTAAATATACTTTCAACCTATGTTACATTTAATTTCAGAATGTGAATCAATACTAATATCCTCAAGTGTGCAGCTGAGTTTATATGCTAAATTTAATCAGCTATCAACAGAAATAATTGCTAAAATCATAAATTATTATTTTGTATATTTAATGAGCAAACAATCAAATTGTTGTAATTAAGAAAAATGTGTTAACATGTCTAAATTCTATTTTCAAGCCTAATCTGCTTTGAGAATTACTTAGAAAACGTTTTATTTTTTTAACTACTGTTTTTTCATCAGTTGAACTGATATGAAATCAAATAAACTGAATACTAATTTTAGTATCAGCTTTTTGTGAATTAAAAATATTAAAAGAATATGTATGTAAACTGGATATTTATAGCTGATTTCATTCATACAATAAATATGATTAAATGTTGGCTATTTTCTAAAAACCTAATAATGAAAATCTAAGTAATTCTTTGTAGATAACCAGATTAAATAAAAAATATGTATCATCCAATAAATGTTAAATATTTCATAAATGTTCTTATTCAGTTTTATAGTGGCAAAACTTTGTGCCAAAATATAGAAGAAAGAATAAAGAAACTACAAACATCAACTATATATTGATACAGTAAGCTGATCAATATGTATATTATTTAAACATTGCATTAAGTTATTCAGAAAGCAATGTCATATTTTCAGAGATAAAATATTATTTTTTCAAATGTAATAAGGTTTAAATTTATTAGTGAAGAATATAATAATAGATATGGAAAAACTCAAAGTGTAAAAGAAACTGTGATTCTGGACCTCCCTTCGAAAAAAAAAATATCAAAGGTTTGTTTTCCTAAGGTCTTGATAAGCTATTCATATAATATTTAAATTATCACAAGCTCTTACTAAAGATCTGATGTGATTGCCATGTCTTATTATGTTAAAAAAGAATGAAAAGTTAGAAAAAAAGTGTTAATTTAATAAAAAAAAAAATAACAATGTAAGCTCGCACTGTAAGCCGAGATATTTTACTGACTCCTCTTATTACACTGGCTGAATGTCCTAAGATTTGAATTTAATCAGATCACAGGTACACTTTATGATGAAACCTTTCAAAATAGGAAAATCAATACCTTCAAAATTCTTTTCATTCAAAATATGATTCTTTCAACAAAGAATTAGCTTCAGAACTTCCAAATAATTATAAATCATTACTTAATATAAGCATATACGGAAAGTTGGTTATATTCTTAAATAAATGTATAACTTCACTTTAAATAGAATATGCATAAATCATACTGCTAACTGAAAAATAAATTTTAATGTATGAAGTGGTATCTAAACATTTAAAGTATTTTGAAAAATACATGCAAACAAAAAGTAGCATGGATTTTGGTCAATGTCCTTTGTGAGCCAGAGTGTTAGTTTACATGAGAATGACTTCAAAGGAGACAGTTAAAATTAGTGTTAGGATTCTTTTTTTTTTTCATAACCTGAATCAAACTTTTAGGTGATCTAGATGCCTGAAAAACTGCAGAAAGGCAGTGATGAAAAAGTTAGTTGCAATGAAATATCTTCAACTAATTCAACTTTTGCAATATGGGAATGGGTACTATAATGCTGGAAAATAATACCTTTTTTATTCTTTAAGTGCACTTTGAGTTTTGGAAATAGGACTTGAAATTGTTCCAACTCATGTACAAATTAATAGAAGGCTAGTTTGAAGAAATTTCTATATCAAACCACTCTCATTCTCTTAAATATTCACTATAAAATCTTTCAGGAATTAAAGTATATTCTTGATTCATTTTTCAGTTGTGATGCAGCTCTGGTTATTATAGAAAATACATTTTGTATAAGTAATGATATGATTAAAAAAACAAAAACAAAAAAAAAAAAAAAACAATTTTCATACCATTGAATAATACAGTGGAACATCAGTTCATGAATTTAATTCATTCCTGAAGGCCATTCATGACTAGAAGTGTTCATGAACCAAAACTATTATTCCAATAGGAATCAATGTAGAGAAAAAAATTCACAGTATAATAAAATTGGAAAAGAAAAGCATGGCCAACACATGGCGGTCGATTTAGAAATAACTGCGTTCAGGTTAACTTGGTTCAGCAATGTTGTTCAAGAACAGAAATTTCGTTCAATAACCAAGGCATTTTCATCTCAAATTTTATGCTTGAAAACTGATTTGTTTGACATGTGAGACATTTGAGAACCAAGGTTGCTCTGTATTGGTCTTAACAGAATTTTAAAATAATTTCTTCAATTCAAATGAAACCCATTTAATGAGGTTTCCTCCTCCCCCTTTTTGCCATCAATCCTAATTTTCTAAATTTCTATATTCATTTGCCAAATTTTAAAACAGAATTTTTAGTATTCATTTAACAGCATCACAAATTTGAGGAATATATATCCCAAGTAATTTCATAGCCCAATTTTAACTAGGACAATGCAAAACTCAAGAAATGAGTTTTCCATATTTGCCTTAAAAATGTAGCAATAGTTAATAGAATAAAGTGAAATTTTTTACTGAGTAATTAATATTTTAAAATTTCAGTTAAAAATATCTTTGATCATCAAAATATGAAGCTTGAAACAAATTTGGTAGCTACAAGTTTAAAAGCGTTATATTAAAATGTATTTCTGGTGTATATGGCTATAAACATCTAATAAAAAGGAAAAGAATCATGATAGCCACAAAGCAGTAAGAGCCAAAATCTATTTTATTATAGAATACCCTCAATTGTATTCAGTAAAAAGTTGGTTATTTCTTAAATAAATTTATTTTTAGATTATGCTATAACCTCACTTGAACAATTACTATGAGTTTACTCACAACAGATTATAATGGTTCACTCTGCCAGAAATTATAAAGTGAATTGTTATAACATTGAAACTAGATTAATTTATTTAAATTTAATTAATATTACCAAGATTTTACTGAGACTGTACAACAAGTGCTAAAGAGTTTTGCACATAGTGCAAAAAAAAAAAAAAAAAAATGCAGGACAACAATGACGATAAATCAAGGCAAAGAATGGAGAGACAATTGGCAATATTGCAGACAAAAACTGGGAGCTGTATACAAAAACAACATATTAAAGAGAGAGAAAGAGAAAATGAACTGACCTCATCTGTGCTTACCTCTGAAGGGCTTTCTTCATCCTCAGAACCTTCACTTTCTGGGAAGTGAACAACACTGCCCCGGCTTCGCTCTGGCCAACTAGACCGGCTGTCTTGGTCTGTGGCTATGCTGTCACGCAATAGGTTTTCTGAAGAGATATTACCATCATTAGCAACTTTCCAAAAGGAATATGTTTAATACCAGAGACTCCATAAGTCTTAAATGTCTATTATTTTTTACAGTTTTCATTAAGAATAACTTTTTTTTTAAAATTCATAATTTTCAAAAAATAATAAAAATACCTTTCAATTTATAGACATTCACTAACACTACAATATAATAAGATTACAGCATAATCATTCAATCTGAATAGTCTTTGCTATATTTTTATTAATTGAAGACTTGTCTAATCTTTCCTATAATTAAAGAATGTCTGACACTATAACTTAATTTATTGAATAAAAATCCATTTTGCTTATGCCAACCATTTTTCAAAAAAAAAATTTTTTTTTTAAATTCTGACCTGAGAGCCTTTAGCCAAACAACTAAATCTTTATAAAAGCCAAAGAAAATTATTGACTTTACTTAAACAGAATTAAGTATGAGCTGTAACAACTCAATGATACATGCCTTTTAATTTTGAAAAGTAACCAATAAACAGAATTATCCACAAAGTATTAGGGTAAGTAAAAAAAATATTAGGAAATGATAAATATTAAATGAACAAGTTCATTTGAATCCTATATATCAACTTTTGACTTTTGTCAACAGCAAAGTACTACTGTAATATGCTGACAAATAATAGAATTGTTGGGATTAAAGTGATTATATAAGAATCTTTGCCAAACTTCTGGCTGATAAATTTTAGATTCTGAAGTCTATTACATTCCAAAAAAAACTATAAAAGAGAAAATAAAGACCTGATAATTTTCAATAGGATTAACATTTTTCCTTTTGCTCAGAAAACAAATGGAAATGAACAAATGATTGAATATGGTAAGCATTTATGTAAAAAAATGTCTTACTTTGGTTCATATCGATAAAACTGCTGTTATTGGAAAATATGCAGACAGAAATTACAATTTCCTGTTACAAAAAATTGTCCAGGATGTCAATGCAAGTTTGAAGGGGATTAGTAACTAAATTTATGTTGGCTAATTAATATCATTTGACTAGAGCAAATCTTTCAACATAAAACAGTTAAAATATATATTGAGTATATATTTTTATGTAAAATGTCTTCTTTTAACTCAGAATTGATGCAGATGAATGATGCTTTCTGTTCAGAATATAATGATAAACACTGAAGTTATTCTATTTAAATGCTAAAAAATAATTACATTAAGAATAAAAAACAGAATCTTCATTAACAAAAAAAAAAAAAATAAAAGATATTACTCTTTATTCCATTATATTCTGAACTTCTTAATCTCTTAACCTAAAATGCAACTTTTAAATTAAAGGTCTTAAATTTCTACAGCTTTATATTTTTTGTAAGATAACCAATTTAGTTAATTTAGAAATTAAAAACAATTTTATTTTAAGGAATCTCTGAATGAAAAAAAAACATGAGACTGAAAACATAAAAACTGAACACTACAATCAAACATTGAATGAAAAATACAAGCATGTGCACATTTTATATAATTATCTCAATACTAGAGTGTTACAATATTGAATTCAAGTGAGGAATAGAAGAAAATTAAGCAAAAATTGTTTACAGAGAATGTATTGGTTATTGAAATATGAATGGATTTACTTCCCTTGAATCTTTAAACAAGTGGTAAAATAAGGATTCCTAGGCCAAATTCCCTATTGTATTAAATAAGGTGAAATAAATTCCACTATAATTTTACTAGATATTTTAAACAGCCATAAACTGAGATTCTGCCAATGGCAGAATAGAAAAAAGGGAAATCAACTGAAACATCCAAAAATGTTTATGCCTGGCAAAAAAAATAAAATTAAACATTGATCTCATAAATGTTTTTTCTATTCAAGTAGAGACAAAAGAATGATTCAATGACACGTTCACCTATGCAAAGCCTAAAATACTAATATCTTTTATCAAATTTATCCAATAACATTTTTACTCTAAGTCAAAATTTGAACAAAGTATTTATAAATATATTTTCTTCTATAATACTTTTTATAAGAGTTTTTAATAATAGGCAACACTGAAGCTAAGAGCATAATTAGAAGTAGTATGTGCATATGCATACACACAAGCACACACTTGACTTGGTTAGTTTACCTACCTCATCCTCAAAAGCACTAGTTGAGGGGATATAAGTAGTATCGATAAATAAGCAAATAAATAATAAAAAGTAAAAAAAAATCAGTTGAGGTTACAAGAAAGGAATGTTAGTTACAGTTTGAAGTGATTCAAAGATATAAAACATTTTAACAAATTTTAGAAAAGTTAATGACTGACTTCCATTCCTCAAATAAATGGAGAAATTTAATCTACAGTACAGGATAAAAAAAAATTATTGATTAGAGATAAATTAATTTTAAATTCTTGGTTGCAATTAAAGTGATACACATTTTAGAAATATTGTAAAAATTATTTGCTTGGAATCAATGGTATTTTTTAATAAAACACTATAATTTGTAATATATTTTGTAAAATACAAAATAGAGTAGCTAAGTTTCAATACTTAAACTAAAAATGACTATTACCTTTAAAGATAATAATACAGAATTTACTATCAAAGTAGAGAAAATTAACTTTATTTTTATGATACACACAAAAAGTAATTTATCATTAATGATGCATATAACTTTGGAAAAACAACTTGAAACAAGTAGCATCACTTTTAGCAATACTTTTACTGTCAAAAAATATTCTATCAGGTCATCCCATAAGTTCTGTCCGAATTTTGAATAAAGAAAACAAGTGACCAAATGTTACATTTAATTAAAGATTCAATCAACAATGTATTTTACCTGATTATCTATGACTTCCTTCCATCTATTAACAAGCTTACTAATTCCATTACTGTAAAATTCTTTTGGCATTGATTCAAAAAACTCACAAATGTCAGTTTTAATCACTTCCTGTGTTACAAAAGCTGTTTCTTCCAAATGATTCTGTAAGCTATGAAACAAATGGTAGTCTGAAGGAGCAAGATCGGAAGAATAAGGTGGATGAGGAATTTTCTCGCAACCAAGTTCTTCGATCTTTTGTGACGTGATTCTTGCTGTGTGTGGTCGCACATTGTCCTGATGAAACATAACCCCTTCTCAATTCACTAGAGCAGGTCTTTTTTTCCTCAAAGCTTGGTTCAAATGCTCTAATTGCTGACAGTGTATTGGAGCATTAATTGTTGCATTAAGTGGTAAGAATTCAAAGTGGATTATTCCTTGGCGATCCCACCAGATTGAAAAAAGAACCTTATGCCCATGAAATTCCCTTCTCGGCTGTGGCTGGGGGTCCTTCCCCTTTACCAAGCCACTGTTTATGATGCTTAACATTTCGATAAAAGATCCATTTTTCGTTGCCAGTCACAAGTCTATCCAAAAAAGGTGAAACAAGTTGGCGAGAATGGAGAGAAGAGCAGATATCAACTCGGGATTTGAGGTTGTTTTCAGACAATTCATGAGGCACCCATTTTCCAAGTTTAGGACCTTTTCCAAGTTGTTGAAGATGACGATGAACAGTTGTATGGTTTGAACTGAGAACCACTGCCAATTCCTCAACTGATAAAGCAAGATTTTCTTTAAGGGCTGCTTCAAGAAGCTTTTCATCAAACTCAACTGGACGTCCGGTTCAATCTTTATCTTCAAGGGTGAAATCTCCACCTCTGAATTTTGCAAACCATCTTCTGCAAGTTCTTTCATTCACACATAAACTGAATGAATGTTTCTAGCCGCTTCGGCTGCTGAGTTTTCTTTCTTGAACTCATAAAGCATTATGTGCCTCAAATGATTCTTGGGTACTTCCATGTTAGCAGGGTTTTAATCAAACAAAATTTAATTTTATTGTTCTTTGAAATAAAATTTGATCGGTTTAAATGCATCTAAACATAAAAATAATGTTCAGCTCCATTAGACATTATAAAATACTCTTTAAATTATGTTGATTTTAACAAAAAGTTAAAATTCGGACAGAACTTATGGGATGATCTAATAGTTTTTAAAAATTCAACAGCCTATATTTCTTTTTAAATTTATCAAATTTTAAGCAAAGTGAATAAACATTCACTGACACAGGTTCCCAAAATGTTCAATAAATTAATTTAAATTGATGACATAACAACAATACATGAATGTATCTAAGCATCATTAACACATTAATATTGCTACGCTAAACATGGTAATTTGCAAGTTAACATTAAAATCAATCATCTAAGTTACATCAAAATAATCATAGAATATTTTGATTTCCTTAAAAGACTGCAAAAACACCTCTATTTTTATAGCCTAACTGGCAAAAATTAAAAAAGAAGGAAAGGTGTAGTAACCTAACAATAGTGAAGAAAGTGAATTTCACAAACTAAATTTGAACTCCAGCTGAAAATAGTTGGCATTGATTTTGCATTATATTTTTGCTAATAGTTATAAGTAAATAGTTGGGCAGTCTAAACCTTTTGGCTTTGGTTGACCATAGACAACTGATTCCAAACCAGAGAACCCCTGCCAACATATGGACTAATTGCCCATCATTCCTCATGTATTACAGACCTTGGAGGAGGCTTAGGTCCAACAAGAGACTAAAGACTGATAAGTTAAAAGAAAGAAAACTTATCACAAGTGGTCTGTGTTTTCATAATTTCTCTGTAAACAAAGATTTTCCACACACACGTCAAATTTTAAGATGAATATAATTTAGAAATTAAATACCTAAAATGTATGTTTTCAGATGCAAATAAGTGGCAATAGCATGAAATAGCCAACAGAAATGTTTTCTAAAATATTTTCTAATTGATTTACTGGAGTAAATTCAACTTCAGACAAACAATATCTGAATTACATGTGATCACAAATCATGCCAAGCCACAATATCAAGAGACTAAAACAAAAGTACAAAAGATGAGGTATGAAAGAAAGCAGGGAATTTACAGAAATTAAATAAAAACTAGAGATAACAGGATGGATGATGAATGATAGAATACAAAAATATTAAAATAAAAATTACAATAGCCACATAACAATCTTTATTTATACTTTAAACACTAGAATTATGGGCCATCTTCAGGCTCTTCATCTTCAGTTTCATTTTAAGCATTTTATTGCATGCACATGTACATATTAAAGAAAAAATATCTTAACTGACTTGGAACAAAATTGTTAACATTAAGCATAATATCTAGACATTTAGCCCTCGACATTTTCTTTTAGTTACAACAATGAGAAATAGGAAATCTGCAAAATGTTACTTGATCAAATAGACATAGAAAATTTCTGTCCAACAATCTGTTTTCTCAACTTCAGAAATGATAAAAGTATTATTCATGCTTTATTTATATATGTATTGCTAAAATATTGATGTTATTTCATTCATTCATTTTTAAAGAACGAATAAAAAGAAATCCAAGTTGCTTTTGTTAATATTGTCAAATTGTTTTTTTTCTTTGTCACATTTGTTTTAGTCTGCTATATTTATATAAATGGAATAGAGATTAACTGAAGTGTGTTCATAATACCACACACAATTTGCACAACCTAAAACCTGATATTAATTATAGAAAACAAGCATGTAGATAGTCAATATTTGATTTGAAAACAAGAAGTGTTTTGAAGATATAAAAATCCAAATATAAACAAAATTAGATAAGTATTCTTGGCTTAGAGACCAAATATTTACTTCTAACGATATTACAATTTGTTTATCAAGACATTACTTGAAATAAATCGGCATGCCAAGACCAAAACCTTCTGGACATTCCATTTTTATGAATTTCTTGTATATTAAAATCGAAATTAACAGTTACACTGAATATTTAGTTATGAAATTTTTTTGACTTTTTTTTTTTCCTTTATGAAATTCAAAAGCCCTATATCAAAGTACATCGAAGTTTTTAGCTTTTTTGTGTTGTTTTTTTTCATTTTTCCTCAGACATTTTTTTTGATGAGTATGTTGAGACTGCAGAAGAGAACAGAATCAAACTATTGGGAACTACTGAACCAATATATATATATATATATATATATAATAAGGGAGGGTCCAGGGAAGATGAAGATTTTAGCCTGAGAGAAAAAAAATGAAGAGAACCTGAAATTGGTCCATGAAGAAGTGGTTGCCCACTGAATACTGATTTCATCTTTTATTCTTGTGTTTGTCTAACAGCCAGAACTGAGAGGATGAGGTTTTAGCCCCAAATTGCTTACCATACTTACCCATGCTCTCCGTGTGGAAAGCCTGCTGGGGAAGGAGGAAACAGGTGAGCACCTTCTGACCGGTACGCTCATCAAAATCGGTCTGAAACTTTACCATCGGCTGGGCTTGGTTTTCCGACAACCATAATGCACTTAGGTTCAGGTTAGCCACTGTGAAGGGCAAGTACTCTAATCTAAGAAAAGAATTTGAAATATTAGAAAATTCTTCAAAATATTTATTTGTATGTAATTTAGAAATTTATTCATATTAAATATTGAAATGGCATTTTTAACACAATTCTAAAGACTTAAAACAGCAGGCATTTTTTTATAAAATTTCTTTTGAGAGTTAATTAGGAAATTCAAAATTAACTTTATTTTGACATCATAGTGTTACTGAACCAATATGATTTCTTAAAACATACCAAAATAGTGTTAATATCTACTGAAAACACTTTTATTGCAAGCCTGAAAATACGAAGTGTGAATTATTTTAAAGAATCATTTATATTGTAAGGAACAGCATTATGAGTTTAAGGGGGGGATCAAAAGACTGAACTTCAACAAAAATTACAGTAACACATTTAAGTAAAAGCAACATTTTCTTTTCAATACAATAAAAAAGAACATTACCTGTTTCCCGAAACATCCATAACATGAAGTTCCTTCAAGTTACCAAGTTCTTGAGGGAGACGAAGTAATCGATTATCCCTCAAAGATAAAACTCCAAGTTTGGAACATTTACCAATCTGGAAAAAATCAAATTTAGTTAAATAGGAAAATAAAACAAATCTAATATATATCTATATTCTTTCGCTGAGTGGGATTCACTCAGCAAGTGCATGTAAAGGAATTTTTTAAAAACCTCTTTAGATTTTGACAATGACACAAAATGTTTCCTTTTTGTACCAACCCATATTCATAAATAGTGTTATTCCTACTTCTTCCCCAATTTTGCTCACTAACCATGTCACAAAATAAAAATGTATTTAACGTTTACAAAAAAAATACAGCTAAATATTTATTATAACAAATCACAACAAAAGTAACAAAGAAGCAAAACCTGTTTATCTGATACACAGGAATCCTTTGATTAGTGCAGCTAATGTGTACATTGGTAACTATAAAAAAACAATTTTCAATTACTATGGTTAAACTGAAGAATGTTTTACCACACTAATTGAGTATTGTTATGTATACACTAAATGATTTTTTGGTATATAAAAATTTTTGCACACTAATCAAAAACGCATTAATTGAGGGATACCTGTATAGCATTATTAACACATACAAATCACTATATGAATTATATAAAACCAACAGTATTGCCTTCTTTTTTTCATGACTAATGAGATACAAGATTCATTTGCTAATATATTACTTGAAGAATTAAATATAGTCAGTGGGGTTAATATCTAATATTATAAAAACTATGGCTTCATTTTTTTTTGTTTTTTTTTCACTATCATCATTAAGGAGAAGAAATATATCTATATTTTAGTGATAAGATATAATCATTATTCATGTCAATATGAATAGTTTAAACTTTACAATATTTCAAGATCAAATCTACTGTTAGTCAATGTAAGAAAATTAGTTCACTATCTTAATTACTTCAAAGACTTATGATTTTGTATCAAGTGAACTTTACAAAGAAAACATTCTATCTTCAGAATTTACATAACTTGTGTCCCTCGAAATAATTGGGGAGTGCTGAAAATTCCTTTGCCCAACTCACTTAGCAAACATCAGAATATTTTTGGAATATTTTTGAGCTAAGAACTTTGGGAAACCTCCTTGTAATATACTTTTGAGTACTAACCTTTTATTTATTCAAATTTTACCTTAAAGATATTTTCTCTGTTAAAAATAAGTATTTCAAGTGATAAATACATAGATATACATTTTTAATAGCAAAAACAAAAGAAAATTTATGTGAAATCTCTATTAAAATAAAACAAAGTCAGCACACACCTATAGCATAAAATACCACTTATTCATAGATCAATCAAAAACATTACATAATGAATCATGCAAAGACCAATGAAATGTAATCAGATCTATTTCTAAAGTTATAATTATCCTTACTTGCCTCAAAAACTTTTACAATAAAGAATTCAAGCACATGTATTTCCAATCAATGGTCAAATGCTGACCATATATAGAAATATTGAAATTACTTTCAACAACTGCACCAGATTTTGACAAATCTACATAAAATATATATATATATATATATATATATATATATATAATATTACATTAGCAACACCAAACTGTTTGTTTGAAATGGTCATCTTGAAGAGCTGAGCCATTTTATTATCTAATCAGTTTCAAATACTATTGAGTGTATCCTTTTTTTTCTATGTTTGCCAAATGACACTCCCAAATATTAATGTATCATTTTTGAAGGTGCATTTTCAAACTTTTTTAAAAACCCTTTTAGTAGCTTTCTTTGTTTTTGTAATCATATATTGTGCTGTTCTGTTTTAAGTATTTTGCTTTGTTTATATCATAGTATTAAAATAGTAGCCACTCTTATTGAAAAGGCTCCTGTCATTAATAATGTTTTCTGAATGCCAATTCTTCCAAAGACAGAATAATCATGTAGATAGACAATACCTAAGGACCAAAAATGTAGACACTTGAAAGAGTTTAAGCAAAAAGTAAACTTGTTCCCAACCTCAGATTTGAGTGAAATGAGTCATATCCAAAAGCATCTTTTTGCCATCATTCATCTGTGTTCATGCTTATTTCTTTTTTATATATATATATATATATATATATATATATTTTATATTTGGTTTTAACATATTCCCTACAAAAGACATGTAAACTGAAAATGGGACCAGTGTTGATTTTAATGTTAATGCCAGCCTCTTCAAATAATCAAATTATTTTACAAGATATATCAACAAAATTTAAACTTCACCAGTGACTTACAATATCATTAAAAAAAAAAAAAAAAGTTAATTTTTTTTTTTTTAATAATAATAGTATAATTAAAAACCAAAGGCAGAAAAACTTCTCTATATATGCTGCATAAAATTAGTACATATTCATAAAAAGTGATTTTTTTTAATACACACACACTCAGTAAAAAAAAAGCAATGGAAAGTCGTATTTTGAAACTTTTTGTCATGATCTTTATGCCAAGTGAAAAAAAAAAAAAAAACAGGAATCCGTTTATCATCAGCTAATGGGCTTCATAAATTGTAAAAAAATAGCTAAGCATAAAGATTAGTGAGACAAATGAGTCAAGTGATTACACTTGTGAATATTGAATTCAGGCCAAAGAGATTAACTTAGATTATCCACTCACTTCTATGGGAATCTCAGTGAGGCGATTGCGGTCCACATTCAGATTATTCATGTTCTTTAATTTCCCAATGGTCACTGGTAATTCCTGAGTTAAAAAGAAATAAAGTCTATTTAATGGTAGTTTAGAAATTAGTATCAATACAAATATGACTGCTACATTTTCTAAAAAGAAAGGAAAAATAAAAAAAAATTTATTACTGCTTAATAGATATTCAAAGCAATTCAAATTCACAAACAATATTATCCATCTTTATCATCATTTGTCAGAGTTCTCAAAGTTGTGAACTTTTGTTTAATGTTGTTCAATCATTCTACTTGTATTTGCCAATTTCTTTTGAGCCAACCTCCTTATTAACTACAACATGTATTCAATAATGAGAGCAGAACTAAAAACTGTAATCATTATCATCTAGTGCACAACCAAGTGCCACTTAAGAAGTAAAAAGAAAAAAGAAAAGAAATGTAGTTTAAAAAATTATCTTGACTGTGTATTTCTCTCATTTCTAGATTTATGAAAATATTTAAACTTAATATCTAATTTAAATTAGGACAGGAGCATAGGCAATTACAAGAGAATCAAAGTTTAAATTATCATCAAGACTTAAAGAAAAAAAGATTACTTACTGTGAGAAAATTTTCGGTTAAGATCATTTCCTGAACAGATTCACAGCTTAAAAATAAAATTAAAAAAATAATCAAGAAATGCACTAAAAACTGCATTACAAAAAGGGAAGAAAAAAACAAAACAATTCAATTCAGATGCAGAAGTTTTAGGGTTATTTTTAATGGCAAGTATGTAGATAAGCAGTGATTTCAATACAATTAGTATGCTTCAAAATGAAAGTACACTTTTAACAAAGTAGATTCAAGCAGTACAATGTTGCTTATTGACACTAAATTTAACATTATTGCCAATGAGTTACTCAATATTTTTTATTAGCTTTCTAATGGAGAAATTAGATTTATCTCCAGAAAAATGAATACAGAGTAAATACTTAGATCAAATGGAAAACAACAAATGAACATTAATTACATTTTGAAGAGGTAATCTTAAATCCTTAAATTATAAATAAAATAAAATCATTTATAGAAGATACAGGAAATACATATGCTGACATATAAATATCTAAACAGGTTATACAATAATAATAATTTCCTTCTATTTTATATTTTTTTTTTTTTAGAAAAAAAAAAAAAATGAAATTAAAGAATTCAGTAACTTTGCTATTCCAATCTAAACAATTATGATCAACAATAAGCAAATATAAGAATCATTAAAGTCTGTTCAAATAACACTGAAGAAAAAAGGACAAAAGTGTATCAATGGGATTTGCATACAATTTAATGGTTTAAACTATAAATTTGGAAAATTTATGTACATTCCTCTTTTGTAAATTAAAACTACAATATCATGCATGGATCATTTTACATATCTGTTTAATGAAAATAATACACAGTAATAATGCAAAATTTAATTTTAATAGCATTTATTTAAAATGTTTTTAAATTCATCTTGGTTGAATATCAACCCTTGGAGCCATAGTTACAAAAACAAGTCATATCTAATAAAATGTGAATTTCAATTAAAAGAAAAATGCTTTGATTATAGTTATATAGTTATAGTAAATAATATCCTGACATAAATGTAATGAATTACAATGTCAGACTGGAGCATTGTCCAATTCTAACCATTACTTTCCCTACAACAGCTATTACCAAATCAGTAAATGAAAATTTACTGCGGAATAAAATTGGCTATGTCTACTCGCCCACGCAACTATAGATGTAGTTAAAAATGAAATATTTTCAATTTAGACTTCTTTAATAACTTTCCTTTCTCTAATCCCATCTTTCCTAGTCTGGTCCGGAAACTTATATAGCCAGTTTATTGTCAGATGTTCTAATTTATTTTTGCAGATTTATTAACTTAAAGAAATGGCAAGATCACATCACATTCATTCAGTTGAATACATGTTCAGGATTTGTACATAGAAACAATCTAATTTAGTTATATTTGATCTGGTACAGAAAGAAATTTCAATCATTTCATTACATGTGTAACTTTTGTGATAAGATTGGATTGCAGATTAGGGCTTAAAAGTAATCTCTGGGGTTAAATTAGAACAACAATTGCAAATCAATTCATCAGCTTTTTAAAGATGTATGTTTGTATCTAATAATTAAGTAAGTGTATAATACCATCATAACAATTTCTATTCAGCTTCCAAATATAGCCCAAGATTACAGATCACATTCTTCCAAATTATCTTGATACCCAGTTCCCCAAATACTAACAAGAAAAACAACAATGACTGTTTTATGAAACAACTCCTTCATTTCAGAACACTGTTTCCAGTGTCTTGATACTTTTAAAGTGATAGATTCTAATGGGTTGGGTAAACAAATGTTGATCTGTACCAAAGAAAGAATGCTACCAGTATTAGAAGATGATTAGATCACCAACATAAATATTTGCTTAATAATCTTCAAGGGTTACATTAGTGACATACGTTTTAGAGTTCAAAGTGGTGTACTTTTTTGAGCCATTCAAGAATTAACAACTGTATTATTCTTCATTGGAAACAACATATGGTTAAAATGAAATTTTTATCCTGATATATGTAATTATATGCACCAAAACTTTTAAGAGATGTCAATGCCAAGTGTGAAAAAAAAAAAAGTGTGCTTTTAAAGAATTCAAAATAACTTACTTTCCAATTTGAGGGGACAGCATCACAAGTTTGTTCTGGTCACACTTGAGAATTGATAGCTTCTTTAGAGAACCTGTAAGGTGTGTGGGGGGGAAAAAGGAATTGTAGAGAAATAAACATAAATGAAAATTTCAAAAACTAATGCAAAACTGGAGAAAATTCAAATATTTCGTTCTTTTGTAAAGTTTGATAGCCAAGTAATTGAAGAATCACATTGAAGCTGTGCAGAGATTGGAAAAGTTCCCCATTCCTTGAAAGTTTGGATTTGGCAGGTGGCCAGGAAATTTACCTGACCATAATAGTCTTGACAGCATTTGATTCAGATGAGTGGGGATGTTTGGAGGAATTAAGTGGTAAACAATAAAATGTGCACATGGTTCTATTATTCACTTAAACTAGGATGCATTTCATGAAAGGTTTTACTAAGAAATCAATTTTTTTCCTTTACTAAATGTTCATCCAATACAAGGTCCAATAGCCATTCAAGGTAGAGGGTTACTGAATGAGGTTGTTGTAGGTGAGGAAGCAGATGCAGATTATGAGAATATCTATGATAGATAACAGTTGACCATAGAGTTTAAGATTGTAGTAATCTAGCAAGTATCCTTTTGAGTCTGTTTCACAAAGTGGTGGTTCTTGGAAAAAAGATGTCTGGATGGAACTTCCATCTTATAAATGGAATATAAAGAGAATGATGATTCAACTCTGTATGTGGCAGGATGGGTCCTAGCTGTAAGAGTGAACTGGGAGAACTAAGAAATACAGCTTGTCTGAACTTTTGCCATGGAAATAGCTACTGAGTAGCAAGAGGCTTGCAATGTTCCATTTGTGAGACAGGTGCTGTAGTGGTGAGGCTGTGAACTCTGTCAAGGCTGGAAAATGAGGATTGGGCAGCAAGACTCCATTTTTGATCTGATCTGACTAATAAAATATGGTAAATGGAGTCAGATATTTTCTGGAGTTGTACTAGGAAGCAACCAGCATTATTAGCACTGAACTGTATATATAAGTTCCACTTGAGATCTCAAGTGAACTTGAGCTCTACTAGATGTTCAAGGCAAGTTCACCTTAGAGAGTACAACTGTTTATCATGACAGTAGAAAATTCAGGGTCTGCTCAGTGATGATGAAAAATTACTAACTTGATTTTGGAGATATTGAATAAAAATAAATATTGATGGTATACTGATTTGGTCTGGTTTGAAAAATTTTTTTACAAGTTTTTACAGTTTTATTATGAGATGCCATTTAGATATATTTCAGAAGAGATAAAAATACAAAGAAATCAAGAATTAATACATTTACAAGAAAGAAAAAGAAAGAAAAAAAATGAGTTAATAGATTTTCACGATTAATTTGAGCCATAATTGTTATGCATTTATTGTAATTTTTTTTTTTTTTGCTTTTATCTTAATAAATAGAAATAAGAATAATTCAAAAGATTCTGAGGGATCACTGTTAATTCCAGATTTTAATGACAGGTTATAATTATAATTTTCAAATAATTCTATCAAATTTGATACTATAAAAGATCCCAAATTTCTGCACTTTTCTTCTTACATTTAATTTTACACCAAATATAATTGAAAGAATTACCATGAAGTTAGAATCAAAGACAACAAAAAAAAATGCTTCAGGAAATCCTAATTTCTTAGAGAAATTAAAATTATCTTTAGGAATTACATTTTCACAACCAATTTTTTTCTTCTTTTTTTCATATGAGTAAATCTAAGTTTGTAGCCTGATGCAAATGAATATCAATCTAAAATTTTTGCTATATATGTCCAACCTATATGATCTATGAAAGAAAGGAATGTTTAAAGTTCACTGACAAAAAAATTCATATTAAAAAATGCATGTGTAAAATAAATACATTTTTCCCATTATTAAGCTGCAAACTTACTGACAAATCTATGCAGATTCTTGTAGTGTTTGTACATTTTAAACATCCATAGGTAAAGATATCAGACTGAGTCAAAATTTGATACTGACGTAAATTTTTTACCTATAATATTTAGTTTAATTAAAATGCAAGTTCGATAAATCAGAATAGTATTATGAAAATTACAATTGACCTAAAGATCCACAGTGAGAATAAATTCTTTACATTAATTATTAATCTCTTCAAACAATTTCAGTAATCATTATTGGAATGCAATTATCTGAAGACATTTTATCCAGTGGCTACATATATAACGAAAAATACTTGATAATTGGATAACATCTGTGTATTTCAACAATGAAGAGCATCAAAAATTATTATTCACACCAGTAATTGAAGGATTTTCTCATTCTAAAAATTTACAACTCCAAATCTAATTTTGAAAGCTTGAAGACAGAAAACACAGAGTTCTAAAGTTTGCTAACTGTAGGCAAACCGTCAAAACCTGATAAGCATTAACCAATTTTCTTTGCCTTCAGAAAAGGCTTATTATATTTCATTTGTCAACAAGGAATGTTTCTCTTGTCAAGTGCAAATGGAGATTTCTCTTGTTAAAAAAAAAAGGAAAAAAATGCTATTTCCTTCTATGGAGCAATTTGTAAAGTTTCAGAAAGCTTTATAAACCTAATTACCATGCAAATATACAATATACAGAGAACCAATTTCCTGCTTTCAGCAAACTATAGAAAAGCTCAAATCAATAGATTTCCAGCTGCCAAATGATTATGCATATAAAGACAAAATACATTTTTTCTTTTCTCTTAAAACTTTCTGTTCATATTTACTTCAAGTAAGTATTGTATCAAAAAAGAATATTTTTACCTCTTTATAACATTTGCATGATTGGATTAACACAAGAAACCTATGCCATCATTATACACTAAAATTTAGTTTCCACACCATAATTGTAAATTAAATTGCTTAATATTTCTGAAGCATCTTTATTTTTTTTTCAAATTCATTCAGAGTAGCAGCTTCATCTTTGCTACAATGTTCTTCAATTATCTTCAGATAATATTTAATATATTAGCTGCTTTTTCATACATAAAAGTAAATCATTTGTAACATGGTGCTGGGGGATAACTAAAAAGCGCCTGACTGAAAAAAAAGAGAAACAAATTTAAAATGGCAACTGAAGTGTTGATACAAATAAATTCAAAGAATATTGCAAGGGGGTTACTTTTAAACAAAATGAGCTTCTTTTCTTGATATGAAAACATAGAAAAAGAATAGAAAAAGATATGAAGAGGATGCAAAATGAGTTGTACACAATAGGATATGCAAGAAAAGTGTAATATTTTAAAGGATGAAGAAAGATGTAACAAACACAAAAATTCTGCACAGTAAAAGAAAATGTATACAAGATATTTTTGTCCTTCATACTTAACAGAATAAAAATCTAATTTGGATATGTCATCTACTATGTGTTTTTTTTTTTAAGTGTAGCCATGCCAAAAAATCTACAAGACAAAAATAGATGAAAATTATTCAGTCCATTCTAGGCAGCCATGGATTGAAATAGTAATCATAGAGTTAGAAACTTTAGTGATGCTATATTGATTGCAAAATTGCTGTAAATAACCCCTTTTTTTACTGCTAAATTTAAGATGCAAATAAATGCCAAGATTAGGCAAAAATGATGTAATGTGGAATTATTCATTGGCACAAAAGAAAAGGTGAAGATAAATCATGTTTTTCCCTCACAATGGGATAGTTATAATTATCAACAAAGCTATTTACTGAATAATAAAAAAAATGACAATAAAAACAAGCCCTCTTTTTATGTTAGTGAAATACTCAAATGTTTTCTATCTTAAAAAGTGTGTATCAAAGAACAAATTATTTATGTATCTCTGAAACTAAAAATGATAGAAAAGTATCAGATTTTTCTCTTGTACTGTTGAAGTTTAATGCAGCTTTTTTTCATTTTCTTTATTTTACTTTGTTCAATCTGAAAAAAACATCACTTATGGCTTTCCTTTAAATATGAATTGCACTATTTATCAAATATCTTTATAATTTTAATTTTTTAATTTGTGTTCCATTGATATAAGAGTACTCAACAGAAGTCTAAACCATAAAAACATTGTTTCTTTCTGTGATTTTAAAATAAAAAGGCTGATAAATTTAAATATAGCCAATTCAAAATCATTAACTAAATCAAAACTCATAACTTATTAAGGCACTTGAAATAACAATTACCTTGAATAAATGTAATTAAACAAATTAGAATAAAGCCTACTTGGCAGGTTAAAAATAAATGAATCCCATATTGTCTTTAACTTTTTCAATTTAAAAATTAGTATGAACAAATCAGTTATTCACCACTTAAGCTAGATATTAGATAATCATAATGCTGATGATTATAGATTTTGCAGGGACACATGCTGATTGCAAGACTACATTCAGCATAGCATGAGAAAATCTTGGCTCATGTGTAAATTAATCATTGCCTAACTAGTTAATACAAATAATCACAAATTAAAAACATTCAAGGAACAAATAAATATCAAAAGGTTAAATGTTTTCAACCTACTTAAAAAACCCAAAAACTTGAATTGGAGTTTTTGAAACAAACCTACCTAGGACTATGAACATCAGTAAGCATGATGTTCAAAATACATATTTCTCCAGATCACTTATCTCTATTATTGTATTTATTTAAAATTACTGAAAGTATCAAGAATTTTAAACCAATATTTTTTAAATGCTTGTACAGATGTTTAAATATTAAATACAAAAATCAAATATTTACCAATGCCCTCTGGCAAGGTTTCAAGATTATTCTGAGAAAGGCACAAATCTGTTAAGTTGTGGCAGCCCCCAATCTCCTCTGGCAGTGACTCCAAACGATTCTCGGATACATCCAACTGTGTAAGTTTTTTCAATTGGCCAATTTCCTGCAATGAAAAGATTAACAAATACTAAAATAATTTATCATATCAAACAAGATAAAAAAAAAAAAACTGAAACGGGAATAAAACAATAATAAACATTCTAAAAAAAAAAAAAAAAAAAAAAAAAAAAAAAAAGGATGAAAGCTGTATCCCCCCCCAAAAAAAGCAGTTTAAAGTAATATTAGACAATCTCTGACAGGATATAAAACAACTCTCTCTCTCTCCAGCCATCAGTGACCATCTTTGGTGATTCTAATGCACACCACACACATGGCTTAAACATTCTAATCTTACTGACAATGCCAATATTCAGACATCAATTAAAAATCATGGATTTTCCTACCTGTTTCTCTAGCATACCAGAACAACAGGTTTTTCTACTTGATTTATTTCTCACCTCCACGTCTCGCTCTTACCAAGCTTCACAACATTCCGCTTGGAAACTCAGATCATTTTGTAGTATCCATTGATATTTTGTTCCAATTATCTGTTAAACAAGAACCGCCTTATTCACAAAGCCTCACTATTACCAGTATGCTGATTGGGACTCATTTTGCGATTTTTTTTAGACACCCCTTGGACTGGTAAAACAACAAACATTGCTGAGGGAGTGAAGATAGTTAAAATAATAGTAGTGTCAAGAGAAAAACCATCTTTTTGACACACTGTTTTATTGTGGGCATGAAACAGGGCTCTACGTTGCGAGTGAAACAGTTGCATTTGCGAGTGATTTTTCCAAGTGGCGACTAGAAATAATAAAACGCTTATCATTTGGCGACTGTTTTTTTTCACCGACAATCTTCCAAAGATCATTACTGAGTGAAAAATGTCTGTTCAACCTTTTCTTTTAATAAAACGAGCAAAGTCAAATTATTTAAACAATAAAAGGTTTAATAGAACAATATACAAGATATTAATTGGCATTTTGACGACGACAGCACACATTTTATTCGCAGTTTCATTCGTCTTTCTGAGCATGCACAAAGATTTAAAGAAACATGGCAACAAAGAAAACAATGCTAAAGCCGATATCGGCTTTCTTTGCAAAATCGAACAAAGTAGAAATGCGGAATGAAACTGAGACTCAAAAAAATGCCCCGAATGATAAACAAAGTAATGATGACACACAAAATGAAAGTAAGCCATCCATTGTACGAGAATTCCGACAAGTTTGGTTGTCAACTTTAGCCTGGCTTCGTTTTGATAGAGAAAAATAACACGGTGTATTGTGATTTTTGTCATAGGGCTGGTTCAAATTTGGCTGGAAAAACTGATTTTGTAGATGGTAGTACTAAATTTAAACGTGAAAACATCCTTGCCCATAGTAAAAGTCTTAGACACAGCAAGTGCTGCGACTTTATCATTAATAAAACAAGCAAACACTCAATTGAAAAGTCTCACATTGCCAAGAAATTTCTCGATGCAGAAATCAAATCAAACGATACTATAAAAAAGAATACTTTGGCCGGTGGCTAGGATCAAAGTGTAGTATCTGCGCTTTTGATCATTAACTCTCTGCTTGCAGAGAGGAAAACAAGGGTGGGGTTTCGTTCGAAGAGGAGGTTAGCGGAACTAGCCCAATTGGACGGGTTTAATGGGTTTTATTTTGGCTCTCACGGCTCGGACATACCCACATTAAAAGGCCTTGTGCCACATTCAATTCCTGTGGGTGAATTGATAAATACCATCAAATCAAACGAAAAGTATTTGACGGATTTGGAAGTTAAATTTAACACAGTTTATTGTATAGGGAAGGAAGAAATGGCCTTTACAAAACTCAAGCCCCTACTCTTACTTCAATACAAAAATGGGCTACCTATGACGCCTGCATATAGTAACGACTAGCAGTAGAGCCCGGCGTTGCCCGGGGATGTAGCAGTAACAGAGAGATCAAGTATCAACCATCATAAAGACTGAAAAATAAAACTGACAAAGATTATTGTTTAAGGTTGACGGACACGCATATCTTAATTAGTTTTATTTTTTTTTTGTTTTGATTTTTTTTTTTTTTACAAATTGGTCAAACCCAAATAAAAACATTGTTTTCAATCGTTATGAGTCTACCAATTGAATAGAATTTTATTATAAACAATTGTCTTGTAAATGGAATTTTCAAAGCATTCTGAATGTAAAAATAAAGAAAAAAGTGTGCAAGACAATAAGAAAGACTACCTGCCAAAAAAAAAAGTGAAGTTTTGTTGAAATCGGTTGAAAAATGAAGGAAATCTGATCCCATATATAAAGGAACACACACACACACACACACGCGTGCACGCACAAACAACCTGGGTTTTATAATAACTATAATTCGATATGAGTTGTTCCCCTTTCATTCAACGATGCCTCTTATTCGTGTTTTCAAATTGATTTCATGCAAAAACAATTGTGTTTTTCCAATTTTTGGCGCTGTCAGAACCACCGCAAGGTAATTTTACGTAGTCCTGTGAAGTTTTGTTGAAATCGGTTGAAAAATTGTAGGAAATACAATCCAATATATAAACGTACAGACACACACACAACCTGGGTTTTATAATAAGTAAGATGTTAGGTGTGGTGAAATGATGTCTACTATTGCAAGCACGATCAGAGATGAGACATTGGAATCTATCAGTGACTCTCATTATGTGTCAGTTATGATTGATGGTGCCACTGACAGCTCTGTGTCAAAAAATAAAGCAGTTTGAGAACAGTGTTGAATGGCAAAGCAGAAAATAAACTTGTTGAAGTTATTGCCATTCAACATGGCCATGCTAAAGGCATTATCTCTGCTACTAAATCTGCTCTTTCAAAAGTGGGGATCAGTGATGATGAAATGTCATTGAGAATTGTTGGGTTTTGTGCAGATGGAGCAAATGTGAATACAGGACAGAGGAATGGTGTTGTGTCACTATTAAGGCAGGAAGTTTCTCATCTCATAGACTTTCACTGTATGGTACATAGGCTTGAATTAGCCCTATTGAAACTACAAAAACAGACTCCTATTATGCAGTCTGTCAATGATTGTCTACATTTGATATGGAAGACTTACCACTTCAGTCCAAAGAGCAAGAGAGAACTCAAGATCATTGAAGAAGAACTTGAAGCAAGAATCTATTCACCAGCACCAGTGAAGGGTACCAGATGGATTCCCCATGTAGACAGGGCAATGAGAGTCTTTCTCCAAGGAAAGAAAGATGGTCATCTGGCTGAGGATCATGGTCAATACGCAGCAGTCTACACTCATATGGAAAACCTTGCAGCAACATCATCAAATGCAGACATTGCTAGTAGAGCTAAGAAAATAAACAAGCAATTGAAGGATCTTGTATTCACTGCATTTTGCCATTTTGTATCCGATCTATTTGGCGAGCTAGCTTTGCCCAGTCTAAAACTACAATCTGATTCTTCCTGTAGCAGTTGCATCAATTAAGGATTGTATGGAAACTGTTTCAAGTATGAAGGAGGAATACATTCCTGGGGGAATGTATGAAAAGTTTATCCTGTGTATTGAAGAACAACAGTCTGAAAATTTGCAGGGTAATCCCAAATTTCAAGGAGTTGAAATGACTGGGAGTCCTGTTTATGAGGCCAAAGAAAAACTAAAGAAGCATGTTGAGTCTACAGTTGACATTACAATCAAAGAACTAGAGTCAAGGTTTCAAAATCTGTTGGGAACAAATACAAGTGTAGATGCTCAAGGTGTGGTGAAAAGTTTCATTAAAGTGTTCAATCATGACACATGGCCATTGGAAATCATGAAATAGACATTATTTGTGACTCATTTGGAAAACCTCTTGTGGCTGCAGGATGCAATATGGAAGTTGTTCACACAGAATGGAGACCCATGAAATTCTTTGTTGCAAATACTTTCAGGGACAAGTCTTATTCTGATTGTTGCAAATCCTACTGACCAAAGACCCATACAAGACTGACTTCTGCAATGTACTTCATCTTGTGAGAATAATGCTCACTCTTCCAATCAGCTCCGCAGTGTGAGAGAGCCTTTTCTGCACAGAAGAGAATAAAGAGTGACATACGGAGCAGCTTGTCTGTACAGAGACTGTCAGACTTAATCTTGCTTTCTTCTGAAGTTCCAGATCTGGCTGAATTCAACCCAGAGAAATCCATTGACAAGTGGATGGCAAACAGCAGGCGAAGGATTGCTGGGGGGCCAGGACAGTGTGACTGGCCAGCTAACATTGTGTCTGTTGATCGAAAGTGTAAGGACAAAGCAGTACTGTTTGAAAACAAAAAGATTTAGAGTCACAAGCTATTGATTTGATAATTCAAATTGAGCAAGTGTTAAAGTGGGACTGGAAATTGGAATAAAAAGTTAAATACAATTCAATATTGGGCAAATGGAGTTATAAATTTTAAAAGATAAAATTTCAGTTTGAAACAGATAGAAATAAGTTCAATGTCAGTAACACAAAGACATAGTATGTGTTTGCCAGACCATCTGGACATTTCCCTTTCCAGTCCCACTTTAAGATCTTAAATCAGCATTACTATAGTTAATATAGTTAATATTTCTGATAGGGAAATTGAAAATAAGGTAAAAACCTGTTGTTAAGAGTGTTATAATAACTGCAAATCATGACTGAATATTACTAAATGACACCTTTGCCAGGTAACAGTTGAAGTGAATGTAATGTTTTTATGAGGTGGTTGTTGCTGTTTCAAGTTTAATAATATTGAAACTGATGCGATCTTCAAACTTGCATTTATCAGTTGACTGAATTATCCTGAGTGATATTTGCCAGGTAACTGTAAACAGTTCTATAGTTTCTAAACTCAATATAATGTATTTATGATCTTTTTGTTTGAGGTGGTTGTTATGATCTTTTTGTTTGAGGTGGTTGTTATGATCTTTTTGTTTGAGGTGGTTGTTATGATCTTTTTGTTTGAGGTGGTTGTTATGATCTTTTTGTTTGAGGTGGTTGTTATGATCTTTTTGTTTGAGGTGGTTGTTATGATCTTTTTGTTTGAGGTGGTTGTTATGATCTTTTTGTTTGAGGTGGTTG